ATCTGCTTATGCCGCTGGGCGTCACTGTTCATCGGACGATCGGCAGCCGTGCCAGAGCGCTCTCGGTCGCTTGATATGCCATGATGTTATGCAGTCTCAAGGTGTCAGTGACCCATTCAGTCTAAGTTCTTCTCGGCCTTCCCCTGCCTCTTGATGTTTCGATTTTCAGGTTGTACGCGCTTGCTGTTGGCATCGTTTGTTTCAATCCCATTACATGGCCAAACCATTTCATTCTTTTTCTCAATAAATTTGACGATGGGCGTTGTTTCAACAGTCACGTCGTTTCTCACTCAATCACTTTTGGGTTTATTCACAGCCATTTTCAAACATCTCATCTCACAGGTGGTTAGTTTTCTTTCGTGTTAGTTTGTCAGTGTCCAAGTCTGACACTGATAACCTAAAGTCGGTATAAATATTGTATTTATTTGTCTTTTTGTCTCTACTGGGATAGATTGGTGTTTTAAAATTGGAGCAAGTTGATACGTGACATTGTTGGTTTGTTGGATTCTCGTTTCTATCTCTCTGTCTATTTTATCATTGTGTGTAAAGATGCTTTCCAAGTATTTGCAAACTTTCTGACAGGCATGCTTCATACAGAGTGGCAAGCATCACTTCAAAGGCCCCGGGTAATTAGCATCCTTTGGACATTTTCTCCTGCCTATGCTGGTGTGTTGGGAAATGAGCAGGCAAGAAGACTGGCCGGCTCTGCACCACATGGTGGTGAACTGATGTATGAGAAGCTGGATGTTGTAAGGGTCCTTTGGGAATGAGTGAACAGTGCGGAGGTACAGATAGGTCATTACGGTCTGAGGAGAATAGCACTGCGAGGAGTTACAAAAGTATCCGACCAACGCTCGACACTCAGGGGAAAGGCGAGACGCATATACAATCAGACAATTACTGTTATCAGTGGAATTGTAATTCTTCGCTTGCTGCTGAAGATGGGAACGGAGGGCTTATGGGGTGTCTCGAGGGCTGTAATGTCAATTCTTAATTCAACATTCAACATTGCCAACTTTCTAGTTGTGGGTAGGTTTTCGGGGGCATGGGGGAGGAGAAGAAGGGGGGGGGGAAGGGATGGGGGTGGGGGGGTTCCAATGTGTCTGAGCTCAGATTCCGGTGTTGCTGTTAGAAACACCTTCCACGAGTCACACTAAAGTACATCTCTCTACGTGACCTAGTAAGACCGTGAATACAGCCAGGTAGGTAGGTTACACTGGTAGGTTATGTCTCTTCACCATGGCTATTCACAGTTGGGTGATCAAAGTTGCTGCTTCGGCATTTCTTTTTCCAGTCGGTCATGCGTGGAAGCCCTGACGTCATTAACCTAATGGTGTCATTCGCAGTCGTTAACCCCATTCTTCTCCCTATGTTGCCAACGATAATGATGATAATGATTATACTAATACTGCTATACCCCCATCACCACTACTCCTGCTACTGCTCTAACGCTGCTACCATCACCACCACCATCAGTAACTACAACTACTTAAAAATACTATAAGCTGCTATTATTACTACAAATATTGCTACCACCACAACGACCACTGCCACCACCACCATTACTAGTACCACTGTGCTGCTGCTACTTCTGCTATTCCTACTACTAAAATTACTATAACAAGTCACTATTACTATTACTACTACTACTACTACTACTACTACTACTACTACTACTACTACTACTACTACTACTACTACTACTACTACTACTACTACTACTACTACTACTACTACTACTACTACTACTAACGCCGTCACCAATCAACACTACCACTGCCAGCGTCACCACCTTTATTGCGTTTTCTACTGCTGCTGCTACTATTTCCATAAAGACTACCACTACAAGTTACTATTACTACTACTAATGCCTCCGCCACCTCCGCCACGACGACGACCACTAATGCTGCTGCTACAACTATTACTACCACTACTAAAACTACTACGACTACTACAAGTTACTATTACTATTACTCTTGCAGTGGATACCAGCCCACTGTGGTATTCAAGGAAATGAGAGAGCAGATGAGTTGGCAAAAGCTGGGAGTAATCTTCCACAACCTCATCCACCACACAGCTACACGGAAACCAAAACAGCACTAAAGCAGTCTTTCAAGCGGGAGTGGAGAAAGCAGAATAGAGATTACAGACCAGAGAGTGACTGCATAAACAAACTCAACAGGAAAGAACAAACATCAATTTTTAGACTTCGGACTGGACACTGTGGTCTTCGAGCACACCTGTACAGGATAGGCATAAAAGAATCTTCTGCCTGTGATTGTGGAGCAGAAAGACAGACCTCTGAGCACATACTGCAGTACTGCCCTACTGCTGCTACTACTACTACTACTACTACTACTACTACTACTACTACTACTACTACTACTACTACTACTACTACTACTACTACTACTACTACTACTACTACTACTACTACTACTACTACTACTACTACTACTACTACTACTTTTACTACTACTGCTGCTGTGCTGCTGCTAATACTACTCCAGCTGTAGCTGCTGTCGCAACTACTGCTGATGCTGCTGCAAATACTACTACAGCTACTATTGCTGCTGCTGCTACTGCTGCTACTACTACTACTTCTACCAATACTGCTGCTGCTGCTGCTACTACTACTACTACTACTACTACTACTACTACTACTACTACTACTACTACTACTACTACTACTACTACTACTACTACTACTACTACTACTACTACTACTACTACTACTACTACTATCACTACTGCAAATGCGACTAGTACAACTACTGCATCTCCATTTCAGGATCCGTCACGTCATAGAGGGCATTGAATCTATTCTGCTCACTATCGTGTCAATATTTATCCAAGGTTGTCATATCTGCCCTGCTGCTCATACACTGTCATTATTTTTAGTTTCAAATATTATTTTTCCTCACAGCGTCTAGCTGCCTACACGTTTACCTATCTACTCGTTTACCTATCTACTCGTTTACCTATCTACCCGTTTACCTATCTACCCGTTTACCTATCTACTCGTTTACCTATCTACACGTTTACTTATCTACACGTTTACCTATCTACACGTTTAACTATCTACTAGTTTACCTATCTACTCGTTTACCTATCTACCCGTTTACCTATCTGCCTGTTTACCTATCTACTCGTTTACCTATCTACACGTTTACCTATCTACTCGTTTACCTATCTACTCGTTTACCTATCTACTCGTGTACCTATCTACCCGTTTACATATCTACTCGTTTACCTATCTACTCGTTTACCTATCTACACGTTTACCCATCTACTCGTTTACCTATCTACTCGTTTACCTATCTACTCGTGTACCTATCTACACGTTTACCTATCTACATGTTTACCTACCTACACGTTTGCCTATCTACTCAGTTACCTATCTACCCGTTTACCTGTCTACACGTTTACCTATCTACTCGTTTACCTATCTACTCGTTTACCTATCTACTCATTTACCTATCTACACGTTTACCTATCTACACGTTTACCTATCTACACGTTTACTTATCTACTCTTTTACCTATCTACACGTTTACCTATCTACTCGTTTACCTATCTACTCGTTTACCTATCTACTCGTTTACCTATCTGCCCGTTTACCTATCTACTCGTTTACCTATCTACTCGTTTACCTATCTACACGTTTACCTATCTACACTTTTACCTATCTACTCGTTTACCTATCTACACGTTTACCTATCTACTCGTTTACCTATCTACACGTTTACCTATCTACACGTTTATATTTTGTTACGAAATGTCTGTTTTTCGTCTTTCTATCAGTATTTTTTTGGAGACTACCAGTCTGTCCCTCCATCTATCTATCTATCCATCCATCAATCCGTGAAATTCATCCATCTGTCCACTCTCCCAGTTATCCAAGCCGCCATCCACCCACCCATCATTCTATCTATCGATCTATCCATCCATGTCCACTCTTCCCACTGTTCATGCATGCATGCATGCATGCACCGTCCATCTAATCACCCATCCATACATCCATCCATCCATACATACATCCATCTATCTATACATCCATCCATCGCCAGCCAATCAATTCAACAAATCAGTCTTCATATAAACAAAACACTTCTTATTCTCTTAAATGCTTCTATTGAAGTTTATAATTGTATGTTTAATAAAGGACCCTTGTCCACGCCTTCAGATGTATTGGGCATATAGTGCTACACTTATATTTTAATTTATCGACCAATCGACACTCGGCTGGTGATGTGGGCAACATCACGCCAACCGCCTTCACTTCCAAGGACTTTGCATAGTACCCATTTAAGGTTGGGTCGACCTGGGAACCAAGGTCATTTTTGGAGGGAAAAAGTCCAACTCGATTTGGATTTGAAATCACGGTCCTCTCACTTTCGAGGATGCAGTGTCTAAGCAAAAGTGAAAAGAAAGTCATTTATTTAGTTTCCGAAAGTTTCCCACAATGCGTTCACCATGTACTGTTTTCTTCCAAATAATGTATAAATCGTTGACTTGTAGATTTGTTTCATCTCTTGTGTATTCAGCTAAGATTACGTAGGTTTAAAAATTAAGTAAAAAATTCCATAACCTGTTGTTGATAATCTGTAAACAAACAGTGAAGCGACGCAGATATTTAGCTGAAGGATGAAGAGGCGTAAAGTAAATTATAACACAGAATCGACGTATATCTTAAATACGGCCCAGACCCTAACAAACACGATTGCACGCATGCAGACACACACCACACACACGCACACACACACACACAAACACACACACACCTACTCACCCACCCCTGCACGCTCGCATTCGTGCACACACCCGCACAAACATGCATAAGCAGAAGTAAGAAAGTAAAGGTCCCTTTTCCACTCCTTTAGGCGTATTTGGAATATAAGGCTAGGCCTATATTGTTAGAAGACCAATCGGCACTTGGTGGGTGATGGGACATACACAGGCACACTGTTTAATTATAATTCACTATTTTCTTCTGGCAGCGTCTATTCTCAAGACACCGGCGTGACCTGAACCGCATTGTTTACATTGACAACCATGTCCTGTCCAGTGACGAACAAGTCCGAGCTACCGTGTACCCAGACAACACTGTTGTCTCGTCGAAGGTATGCCAGCAGGTTTTATTTTCAACAGTTTTGTTCTAGCAATGGTATCCTACTTGCCTGCTCTCAGAGGTCATGAGTTTGAATGCCCCTCAAGAAATTTTGAAAGTTGGTCTGCAAGGTGGACCTTTTCTAAAAAGGATATAATTAAATGTCATGTAAAGTATAGGTGAATTAGTAACCATGGAAACGAGATGTCGGAGAATGACAGCTGGAGTTAGTAGAAGAGATGAAAATCATAAATGATGTCACAACAGAAAAAAGGACACAAAACCACTTGTAAATTACATACAAAGACTCAGACTGCAAACAAATGTTCTTCCCTCTTAGAGAAAATGCCCTGTAACAGCATACCACACAAGGCATACACCATGAGAAGAGGAAGAGGATGTAAAGCACAAGGTAGACCAAGAACAAGATGGAAAGATAGCATCAGAGAGGCTCTACGACAGCACAATGTGTCTATGGTCGAGGCGGTCATAAAAGCAAGAAGCAGAATCTTATATCTCCCTCGACCCCCGAAGCAGTAAAAGAGGAAGTAAAGATGACAGGCCTGATACTGACCATATTACCCAGGAGTCTCACTGAGGTAGCACCACATACCCAGGAGCCGCAGTGGTATAGTAATTAGTCACTTGCCTCTGGCCCAAAGGTCTTGTGTTTAAATCTGCATCAAGTCTGATTTTTTTTTTTAAAGGACTTTAGCTCCTAGGTCCACCCACCTACAATGGTTACCAGGTTAAGTCTTTAAAAGTAAAGGTGGTCGGGATGATGTTAACCACAAAACCAACCGATATCTGATTGGTCTATAAAAAATATGAATGTAACCCGGAGTAAAAGAGGTTCTTTACTTTTACTTGTACCATTCTTTCAATTGCCAAAGGCATGAAACAAATCCTTTACTTACTTTTACTCAATTAACCCTAAATAGACCTTTAGATATACCAAGGTCATCAAAGCAAAGCTGGACTAGAGGGGCTTTAAATAGTCATGGATGTTAAAAAACATTTAGAGGGCAAAATAATATGTCAGATAACAGCTGGTCAAGTATTAAAATACCAAGAACGAGAAGCATATATAAAACCTATATAAAAAAAGAACAAATCCATCATCCAAGGTTTTGAGGCTTTGAACAACGGATCAACATCATGGCACATGGGTAATTACCTATAAGTGCTCCGTTCTTCTTCTAACTCAAGTCTGAGTCCTAAGAAGCTCAGCACAGTGCAGAGGCTCTGTAGCACCGGCGATGATCCTGAAATATTTTGTGTAGATTTTTAGCTCCAAATTAAAAAGCCCTTAGGCTACTCTTTTCGATTTCCAACTGCAACAATGCACACAGGCACCAGAAGAGGAAAATGACATAAAGCTACCCAGAGACCAGGGGAATTACTAGAAGTCCAAGTCCAGGTTACAAAATCCCAGCCCTTACTGGGGATTAAACCCGGAACTTCTAGCACTCCAGGCGGACACCATGCCTTGAGATCACGCAGCCCCCTCCACCATACAAACCATTTGAGAAGCACAAGACAAATACAGAAAGCTAGACACTGGGCTACAACCTGGTATCCGTGAGATAACAAAAGAAGAAGAAGAAGCAGAAGAAGAAGAAAAAGAAGCAGCATTTAAAGAATTGTGCGTTTTACTGAATGATAGGGATGCAGAGGTGCTGAACCACTTGTAGTGCGGCTTAAAGACCACAGTACTATCTGTTCAAGACCTATCTAAACCTATCATCAGTCATCCTAGAAACAGGTTTCCTACAAAAAGTCTGCCCAACGAAGATGAGATCGATGTTTGAACAAAGATGAGATTGATGTTTGCTTCTAACAGTCTGCACACAAATAAGTCATATCTGTAGAATGGGCATGCATGCAAACCCAAGTCCTGGAACAAGGCGAGAGTCAAGATGTGGATGAGCAGCAAGAACGTTTCTTCGGAGTTTACAGCCAGTGAACGCTAAGAAGAAGAAGTGAACGATACTGTAGCTTTTAAGAATTCTCTTTCTCGCCTCACTAGACAAATATCAGATTTTACTTTTACAGTATGAGGTTTTGAACAACGAACCAACATCACGACACACGGTTAGTAAACCATAAGTGCTCCGTTTTCTTTGAACAAGTCTAAATCCTCAGAAGTTCAGCACAGTGCACCAGCTCTGTAGCAACAGTGAGGATCCTGATACCACTGTCAAAACCAACACAAGGTGCATGGCCCTCAGCTGGGATCGAACCCGGCACCCCCACATTAGGAAGCGTTCGCATTGACTTAGCCACAGAGCTGACCTGTAATGTACATAACATTTACCTAGAAAAACCACAACAGCCAAAAGATGCTGGGGTTGGTTCTGCAACATCCTGTAAATAATACACAACTAACTTCAACTCTGTAGTCTATAAAGTTGGTGGCCTGTAATTTTTCAAGTGAAGTCATCATGTCTGAACAGTCTGGTCCCCTGCTCTAATGGCTGTTTGAGTATATCATTGTGATATTAAACCAAAGAAAACTGCCTTTACTATCTGTATTTACTACTTTTGTGGTGTAGCCACATTGGCCGGAAAGGGGGGGGGGGGTGGTGGGGGGTTAAACCTGAGGATTTAGAGCCATATAGCTAGCACTGTCACCATGCACTGTGCAGGTTACGATTCTTTTTTTTTTAACCCCAGACACACACAAAAAAACAAATCCACAACCTTACCTATTGATTTGAATCTGAGTCTTCGGTGTGAATATGCCAGTGACAGTTGGAGAACCACTAAAGATGTGGAACAAAAGTTAAAAACATTCAAAAAAAAATATCTGAGAAAAATGTTAAACATAAACAGGGATGAATTCAAGAGGGGCAAAGAAATAACAGAAAAGTCTGGGCAGCCACTTTTAACAAAAGTTATAAGACAGAGAACATGATACTATATTGAAAACTTCTGGGGAAGAAATCAGCAGAGCATCATGAAGCAGACACCAAAATGGGAAAAAAATGGACTGAGGAGAGAGGGCATCCAAAAGAAACCCTAAAATAAAAGTTGATGAAAGAAGCCAAAGAGACTGTACATTTTAAATCCATGATATCAAAGGAATTGCACAGGACAGAGTGGAATGGCGGAATAGACTGTGACCCCTGTGAGATATACAGTGGCACAACAGGTATATGATCATCTATTTATTCATTAGTATGATATTCTGTCTATTTGTAGAGATGTAGCTACCTTTTTATCAGTATGATACATGACTACATGATCACATGTAGTATGCAAAACTATCTGATGATATGTCTGTCTGTACCTTTGTCTTTATCTGCACAGACTGCAACCTACCATGCATGACATAAAATGGACCCAAGGAATATTGGCATGAGATTGGTTACCTCATTTTAGGGAAAACTAGCTGATGGCTGTTGGGGAAAGGGGGGGGGGGAAATTCATAATCAGGCCTGCAAAGGTCTTTGCATGAATTTGTTAAGGAACTTTGGGAGATGAAAGACAGACAGAGGAGACGAAGAAGACTAACATGGGGCTACTTTTAAATCTCTCAATCAAATGCGAAGCATAATGTCTTACTTTTCATTGGTCAGAACTTGCTACAGAAATCTGGTTTTCACAGTGGCATTAGCTTTGTCCATTTGTCGTCTTGTATACAACATTTTGACACTTCTTTTCTTTTCTTTTTCTTTAGCATTCTGAGTCCTTGAGGCTCATTGCTGCAGATTTCTTCCACCTCTATTCATCTTTTTCTGGCTGGTGACTTCAAGTGTTTTTATCCATTTAGATTTTTCCGATCCCAATTTTAGATATCTGGATCTTGATGAAATTAGGTTTTACAAAGATTAGGGTTCAATCCCATGCTTCATCCATCAACATGGAGGACCAGGGAATCTCTTCTTATCCATTCTCTCCCCTTTGGTCTGATTGGTTTGGGAGGCCTAGCTGATAGCTCCACTGCTGCTAGCATAGCTCTCAGCATTATTGAGAATCTACACCATGCCAAGGTGGAGACATCGTTGTGGGGAGTTTTGGTATAACAGAATTAATTTGGAAATGGTAAAGGATAAATATATGTTTTGTTTAGCTTGAATCTCTGTTTTATGTTTTGTTTAGCTTGAATCTCTGTTTTATGTTTTCTTTAGCTTGAATCTCTATTTTATGTTTTGTTTAGCTTGAATCTCTGTTTTATGTTTTGTTTAGCTTGAATCTCTGTTTTATGTTTTGTTTAGCTTGAATCTCCATTTTATGTTTTGTTTAGCTTGAACCTCTGTTTTATGTTTTGTTTAACTTGAATCTCTGTTTTATGTTTTGCAGTATACTTTACTGACATTTCTACCAAAGAACCTTTTTGAGCAGTTCAGGAGGATTGCAAACTTCTATTTCTTATCTGTTGCTTGCATTCAAGTAAGTTTTTTAGTACAGGAATTATTTGCTTAAAATAACCTTGGCTCCCAGGTCGACCCAGCCATGAGTGGGTACCAGGTACCACCTGGGAGATAAAGGCGGCCCGTGAAAGGTTGACCACATCACCCACTGAGAGCCGATTGGTCTACAAAATGTAAGTCTAGCCTTATATGCCAAATATGCTGAATGCGTATGAAAGGGTCCTTTACAATACAAATATTAATGTGATGTAACAAGAAGTGAAAAAGAAGGATAACCAAAGTCTTAAAAGAAAAAGGGGTGAGGAGAGGCTGACTCTTCTTTGGTAAACGGGACAAATATTGCTTGGTAAGTTGAGAATTCCTGGTGCTCATTTTAGGGAATCTCAATCTGGGAGCTGTGGGTCAATTATATTAATCTGCCTCACTGTAGATTTGAACCTATGACCTTCAGTTCAGCATGCAAGTGTGTGGGCAATGCACAATCTGGCACAGTCAAAGAAAGATGCTAGAGAAAAAAAAAAGACATTCTATTCTGGATCTAATTCATAAAGAATACTGAGCTAACTCTCAAGTCTGATACTATGATGACCAGGTCGTTTGCGCTGTGGACAAGACTTGCATCCAGTAGAGTGCGGTTGATGTAGAGACTTCTCCCAAGACCCTATACCAAAGTGTCATCTTCAAAAAGATGGAGATGCAAAGCTCTGCTTCCCCTCTCCAGGGTCAGAAACCAAAGATGTGCATAAAGCTGCTAGTGGAATATGATATCTGTGGAGAGGAGTATTAAGACATAACCAGGTCATGTGGGTAGTGGGGTAGGAATATCTTCTATCAAAGGAGAAGTAAGGCACCTCTTTCCCCCCGTAGCCTACTGGACTCCCTTTGGAAAGGTGGAGTACATGTTTAGCCCTCTATCAGGGTAACATGAAGCCATGAGGGCAGGGAGTAGACTGAGCTGGAGAGCACTTGACAGAGAGTTGTCGGTCATGGTCTCAAGCTGAGCAATGGTAGGCAGAGGATCACGCTAAAGTGATAATGGCTACGCTCACACAACCAGTATGTTCCCTGCCAAAAAATAAAAGCAATGGCAAACCTACTTCCAGATATCAGGAATAGTCATAATTTCATAATGGCCTTCATCTTATGAGAAGAAATGGACTCAAGAACTTGGCTGCAACTGACAAGATTGATGAAGAGAACCAGAGGAGGTGAAGAAAAAATTATATTATTAGGGCTCCCAGTGAAATTTTATAAATTGGGTTTTTTAACTTATGAAACAGTAACAACTATATAGAGATTACAATATCCAATCCTACGATACCTCAATGAAGCCTGTAAGTCAATTTTAAGCAGAGATATTAACATTTTTTTAGTAGCGGATACCACCACAGACAAATTATAGTGAAATCCGACAAAAGATGGATTCCAGGCTGCATTGCAGCAAAATGTAGGGATAAAATGACTAAATGTTTGCATTCTATGGCAGTAACTATTTTGTTTCTTAACAACTATACATTGCTGGAATCAGGCAAGCGAGACCTAAAGTATATGCATTTCTCAAATACCTATGATACAATATGGGCCTAATTACCATATAAATATGGCCACAAGCTCACTTGTTTTAAGTAAGCACTTTATGAGTGCGGCCTGCGTCCCATAAGAGAGTGCAGCCTATGTCTCATGACTGTATGCAGCCTATAATATACGCTGCATACAGTCATGCGGCCTGGGCTGCATGCAGTCGTGGAATGTAGGCTGAGGTATTGGGGTTGAGGTTAGGGCCAGTTTTATATGTTTTGGGACTGTTAAAAGCACTCACATCGTGGAATATAAAACACGTGATATAGCTGGCAGCTGACAACAACGAGAAAAATACTACGTGCCGCTGGCCTTGAAGCGTGACACCCCCACAACATAGGACAGGCTCTGCGACACTACTAGGCATGAATGGGAAGGGAAATCACTCTCTTTCTGGGCCAGACAAGGTTACTATAACCAAATGTTCATACACTTGTAATCACCAACATCATGTAGTAGGTCCTTTCCTTGGTCAATGACACTCCCACCACAGCCTGCTGGCAGGGGTGCCAGAACCTAGGGACTTGGACACCCTGAACTCCCCTCTACTCCCTTGTCCTACAACAAACCAGCGTGTTGGATAAGCAACACCCCCTCCCACCTGAATGCCAGATGACAGAGAGGTAAAAACTGTATATACAAGGGAGATGAATGGTCGTAGACCACGAGACAGACCAAGAAGATGATGGAGAGATAATGTCCTGAGAGATCTGCAAACACTTAGTGTTACCAACTGGAAAAAGAAGGCCAACCAGAGAGATAAGTGGAGGTTGGTGAAATCTGCAGCAATGAACTTCAAGGGCTTAGAATGCTGAAGAAGAAGAAGAACATCCATCTCGACTTTCTTTGAAAGAATATTTTCAAGTTGTCTCCAACATTCTTTGACCATATTCGTGCTAGTCGACTTACAGTTTTCATCTGGAAATCGGGGTAACAAAATATTCCTATGCATTTATTTCAGTTATGATATGTTATTTGGCATGACTTCTTTTGTTGCAGTTTATCATTGACACACCAGTGACACCTTTAACAAGCACTCTACCTCTGATCTTTGTCATATCAGTGACGGCAGTCAAGCAGGTATATTTCTGAACTCATTCAGTATGTAATTTTATGTTCTTTTAAACGGTTTTCTTTAAATGAATGAATACAAAAAATTGATATCAATGCACTTGGGATATTCCCAAACATGCTCCATCCCTTCATCCGTAGCCAATGGCCAAAGATGACTGGCCAATTAGTCAAATATCTGGAGTGTAGGAGGAGGCAGTATCAGACATATGGATGTATTTTAGGCATTCCAGGCATCTTCCACAACAGGCAGGCTCTACTCTGGTGACTGTTTCTCCCCAGCCTAATTACACAAGGATTTTAAAAACACTAGGAAGAATTGTCACTAGAGTTAGGGATTGCATGCAGTGAGTTTGATACCTTCTTCTTTCATTAGTGAAGAGAAAAGAACAGTTTTCTTTTAGAAAGCTTAATATGTTTACTTAAACAGACTAAAAAGTCTGTGGTTAAGCAGATCAAAATTAGAATTTTGAGAGCGTGCATCTTCCCTGTAGCAACATACGGATGTGAGTCATGGACTGTCTCCCAGTCCTTAAAAAAGAGAATAGGGGCTTTTGAGTTGAAATGCTATAGAAAGATTCTCAGAATATCTTGGACAAAAAAGAGGAGAAATACTGACATCTTTAAAGATCTGAAAATCAATGAAGATTGGCTAATAAACAGCATTCTGTCTTGGAAGCTGAAATATTTTGGTCATATAAAGCGCCACAACGGATTGGAAAAAATTATAGCAAAAGGCATGGTACCAGGAAGGAGGGGCAGGGGCTGACCAATATGAAGATGGGCACAGGATATAAGTGACTCCTTGAGTATCAAAGTGCATGAGGCAAGAGAGACCAAGTTTCTTTCAGGCACACTGTGATAAGAGTGACGTTCTGCAAAGGACCTGCTACATGATGATGAATATGTATACCTGAGTGTGTATGTGTATTTGTGTGTGTGTGTGTGTGTTTGTGTGTGTGTGTAGAGTTGTGAGTGTATATGTGTGTGTCTCAAAGCAACATTTATGTATGCATGTTTATATGTTTATGAGTGTGTTTTATAACTTAGTGTGTATTTAGGTGTTCACACGTGTGTGTGTGTGTGTGTGTGTGTATGTGTGTGTGTGTGTGTGTAAGTATGTGTATATATTGGCGTTTATAAGTATGAGCATACATATTGAATGTATGTATTTGTCACATATCCTTTTTAAAACCTATACTCGTACTATGTGTGTATTGTACTATATGAACATAACATACTTTCTAGATATATAAATACAATTGTTTTGTGAAAGATCTGGAAGGTTCAAATTTAAGTCTGAGCTAAAAAATACGGTTTTATTCATTCCTACATTCATTTGGTCCTCCAGTCACTTCTATCCTGTGCAATCCTGTTGATATTGTGCTAGTCCACCATCTTTGGTCTCTGCAACATTGGTCTTAGGGTTTCTTTTGGACATCCTTGTTTCCTCAGCACATTTGTGTTCCATTTCAGTGTCTGTTTGATAATTCTTTGTACGTTTCTCTTTATGATGTGCTTAATAGGGTCGAGGCAGCAGCTGTAATCACTGTTTACACTTCTATTACAAGGGAAAAAATACATTATTTTACTATTTATTTTTACTGTTTACTATTTATTACAAATACACCACTCAATTTACGTTTCACCAAGCATTTTAAGTTTGTAAACAGTATTACCTTAGTGAAAAGAACTCTCACTGCATGCTTATGCCACTCATTCAAACATTGTAACGTGTAAAAGCTACCAGTTACTAATACTCTGATGCCAGCTGTACACATACATTCTTTCAACAGTGAAGTGACAAGAAGGAAAATATCATGTGATACACTCTCCAGTGTAATCATTACCTACTAACGTCAAATTTTATCTTAACTACTCACACATGTGAATGAATCATGCCTCACCAGTGGTGCCCAATATAGCACCATCTTCTTTGTCCTTGATTTTAGTCTAGTCCAGGTTTCAACTTCACTGCAGTCGGTTTTCCTCATACTTGCTCCGTCCCTGTGCCAGTGAAAATCAAACAAAATGTCCCTCACTGTTCCATTTGAAAACCTGGTGAACAAACAATTAGTCCAAGAACAATCCAGAAAGGTGTGCACAGTAAATGCAAACTTCTTTGTTTTTTTAACTGTTAAAGATCTACAGAAACACATCTGTATCTTTAAGCAATTACCTAATAGTTATTGTGACTATAACCACTTAAAATATCTGCAGGGCTATGAAGACTGGTTGCGCCACCAAGCAGACAATGATGTAAACACAAGGAGAGCTGTGATAATTAGAAATGGCAAGCAAGTAATCGCCCGCGCAATGGATATAAAAGTATGAATGGGTTTAATATTATATGGCAAGTTATAGTCTATTGATTCTGTCTGAGTTGTTTTGCAATAGCTATAATTTTTTTTATTATTTTATAACTATATATTTAGCTCTAGGACTGACCAGAAGAGGTAAAATCATAAATGTTGTCAAAAGAAAAAGGCCGGTAGAGAACCAGTACTAAATTACGTGTGATGACAGCAAAGAAAATGTGTCTGCTTAGAAAGAATGTCATACCATACAAGGCATACACCAAAATAAAAGAAGGACATAAGTCACGAGGTAGACTAATAATAAGATGGAAAGATGACTTCATTATTTAAAGGAGAGCCGCAGAAGGCTCCTTAAAACTTAAGCTTCCTTAAAACCTATAAGTAGTTTTTAAAAAAATGTACAGAAGATTAGATAAAAACATAGACAGTAGCATAGAATGATGATTGTCTTTCATGGGGAATTTGTAAATGCTTACTGTTGTTCACATAAAATATTAAATTTTTTTTTTTTCTGGGTCTTCTTCTAGGAAATGCTTTTAGCTTATTTGATCTGATCAAACATGTAGGGTTGAAAACTAGTTGTTAATAAAAGCTGTAAATGTTCTGAAAGATATTTGTAATTAAAAGTATTTTGTTAAAATTAGGAGAATTAAATGTGAAATTTTAAAATGTTCAGCAAAAATTAATGCTGAGTTATTCAACATTTAAGTGAGTCTCATAATTTTTTCATCTGCTTCTTCTTCTTCTTCTTCTTCTTCTTCTTCTTCTTCTTCTTCTTCTTCTTCTTCTTCTTCTTCTTCTTCTTCTTCTTCTTCTTCTTCTTCTTCTTCCGAGCACTGGGTACTCAAGTGTTTCAATTTCTGAGACATGGAAGAAGAAGAGATCCTACATTCACTTTCATCATCATCATCATTATCCTGTTGCTGTTTAAAGTGCGCACGGCCAATTCCTCCATTCTGTGCTAACTTTTCTATATGCATTCACTTTGTGCACATGTAAACAGTTCTCTGGTGGTTGACAGCATTTAAAATAGCCCATACTGCTGCCACCATGGCAAAATTGCCCGTGTGGGAAAGCCAACATCCAGTAAGGTCTGCATGTATTCTGATGTTGAGATTCTCCCATGGACTGGAGGTGGAGGTGGTCACTGAAGCCTTCCACTGGCTTGAAAACCAGCTGCACTCACATGTCCTGATTTTAACTGACTCATAGTGCATCCTGAGAAGGTGGTGACAAGTATAGTCTGTGCAGAGTGGCAAGCATTGCTTCAGAGGTCCTGGGTAGTAAGTGTTATTTTCTCCTGGGATACCGGTGTGTTTGGAAATGAACAGGCTGATAGATTGGATGGTTCTGCACCATGTGGTTAACTGATGCATGGCAAGCTAAATGCTGTAAGGGCCCTTTGGGAGGCACAAATATCTCATCACAGTATGAAAAGAAATGTGTAGCGAGGAGTGATTAGGGGATTTGGCCACTGCTCAACGCTTAGAGGAGTGGCAAAACTAACAATCAGACTGTTACTGCTGCCATCAGAATTGGAACTCTGGGTTTGCTGCTGAAGATGGGGACATAGTGCTTATGGTAATGTCTGGCATTCTATGATGCATGTTCTTAACTCATACCTCACATCTCCTTCTCCTGAAGGGTGTTTAAAGCTGAATGAATTGACTGAATTTCACTGGATTTTCTCTGTAAGGCTCACTTTGCAGAAGGGCTTTTTGCCTAATGAGAGTATTGCACCAAGCATAAAACTGCAAAAACTCCAACAATGACACCCAGGGACCTCCAGAACACTTTCACTTACAAAAGGATGGTTAGAGTTTTGATACTGATCTCACAACCTTCAAAACGCTAAGATCATGACTTAATCACTTTGCCAGTAGGACCTCATGAGATTCTCCTGATGTCATATGAAAGGAAGATTGAGCATGATGTGAGGAAGGTAGTCCTTGAATTTAGTAATAAAATCTACTTCTTTTTCATTTGCCTGAAATAGATTATCTATATCTGCAATTTTGTCTCTGTTATGAATTTCACTGACTGTTGTAACTCACTCAGTGACCCATAAAGTTTGGCTAGCACCTGTGTTTTTCTTGGCCAAAAGTTTTGCCTTGATATGTCATATTTGGGACAGTCCTGGAGGATGTGATCTGTTATCTCAGGTGCCAATTCATATATACACATGGCTGATTCACCAATCTTAAATTGTGTATACATGTGGCTTGTTGATTGTGTCCTGTTCTGATGCATAGAATAATGACTTACTCTAAATTCAATAAAGCAGAAAAAGACATTTTAACAAACAGACCCCCATAGCATGTCTATATCTGAACATTTTGAAACTGGTCACAACTACAGATGTATTGATGCTATATCTTAACAATAATAAAGACAAATTGCATAGTTTCATTACCATTTCTGGAGCACATGATAGGATTTTAGGGGTTGAAGCTTATATTTCACTTGATCTTGACGAAGCTATGCAATATGGAAGTCTGAATTATTTTGTACTTACCTATGATAAATGAGAAATAAAACCTTCATTGCTCAGGGGTAAAATAAATCATATATTTTAAGGCATGAGAGGATGTCATCCTAACCACTTGCTAATATTTAAACCGAAAAAAAAAACCTTTATTTTTTTTTAAATTAAAAAATTAAAATAAAAAGCCTGTAAGTGATACATTTTTTTTTCAGGTAGGAGATATTGTGAAAGTGCAAAGAAATGAGGAATTCCCATGTGATCTAGTCATGCTTTCATCTGAAGACGCTCTTGGGCAGTGTTTTGTTACCACTGCCAACCTGGATGGAGAAACAAATTTAAAGGTATAGTAGAACTTGTTGCTTTGTTACACAGAGAAGTATTTGTTTTATTTCATGTTATACAAATACAAAATTCTTACATTATCACTTTTAAAAACAATCTGCAACCATAGCTTTGAAAACTTAATTCACTTTGTTGCTGTGTGTCTGTCCTTACTGTCTGTATTTACCACTTTTAACAGTTTAGGATGGAAGGGTCATGAGGTTGAAGATTTAAGACCACATGGCTAGTGCAGAAAAATCTCCACCCTGTACCGAGGACTGAAGCTTGGTCTCCCACACAAAAGTCTAGCATTCTAACCAACTGGCCAGTTGCTGTACATAACTGTCATGAAGTGCATCCCTGTGAACTGGTCATGAAGCTTCCTGATTATTCATTTCCTAGATGTCTGTCTTGTGCAGCTATGTCTAGTGCCATTTATACCTGCATCAATAGACTATATACACTGGGTGTACCGAAACAGGAAAACCATATGGGAGCCATCCATCCTTACATCAGCCAAAATAGAATGGGAGATGTTGGCCTAAAAACATTGGAGACATACTCAGGAGGAGATCGGAGCACTTATGGTCATGTTAAGTGATGCAATAAGATGATCTGTAAAATGAACAATGAACAATAAACAATGATAGATCTGCGCTTGTTAATTTTATGTAGTCAAATTCGAGAGGATCGACCTTATTGCACCTGTTTTCATCCTATATGGCTCAGTCTCTCTCCCCAGAATGACTAGCCTCCTGCTGTGAGTGTTGCACAAATTGCAAACACTGTAGCTCTGGCAAACAGTACCCGGAGATCTCTATAAAAATTGCACTCACGAACCAAATGATGCCACTGTAAAACAAACCCAGGACCTTTAGAGTGCGAGGCCAACTGCTTGACCACTTCACCAGGGAGACCCCTTCATTCTCTATATACCAGTCAGCATTCATAGGTGTTGTAGTCAGTATCAAACTGGCCCCTTTTACTTCTGCCTGAGTGTAAATGGGAGTCCATAAAGAAAGCGAAGAATAGTAACCCTGTAACTGCCCATGCATATTGTTAACAGACACCTAAGAAAGGTTGACATGAGACTTGGATACCTCACCCCATAGAATATGTCTGCTGCCAGATCCAGCCACTCATGAACAAGTCTACAACGAGATTGGAGACAGTTTATTCAAATATCCAATGCTGAACTGGAAAATGAAAGGCAGAAGTAACATTTGTTTTTCTGAGCAGTTTTCTGTGGTTATTCCAGAGCCATAAAAAATACAGATTTTTGTGAGAAATAAAAGGAACAAGGAAAATAATCAAGTAAGAAGCCTAACACTTTATTTGCTTTTGACATGGATTAGAATGCCATGATGAACACTTAACCGTGAGGTTGTCCAGTGCCCCACAAAACTAACTTGGAAGGCTAACCCAGGAAACAAATGCATGAAGACAGATGTATCAGACAAAAGGCACAAATATTACATCCATGCTGTAAATTGACACAATGCAATTATGTCCATAAGATGAACACAGAGGAAGAAGAAGAAGAAGAAGAAGAAGAAGAAGAAGAAGAAGAAGAAGAAGAAGAAGAAGAAGAAGAAGAAGAAGAAGAAGAAGAAGAAGAAGAAGAAGAAGAAGATGAAAAAAAAGAAATGTTTTTTACAGCATCATTAACGTATTACTTTTATCTTAATGTGTAAACGACTCACTATTTCACACACAAAAACTTAGCTTTACAGTTGTTTGTTATCCAATACTATTTAGACATTTACGTGCCTGCATGAGACCCGCCATTGCAGCACACCTGAGGAGCTAGGAAAATTGAGAGCCCGCATCACATGCAAGCCACACGTTGCAGACCTGTACACATTCCAGGGGGTCATGGAAGTAGAGGGGGAGCCTAACTCAAAATCTCTGGGTCCTGAGAATCTACTCCTGCGAGGGGCACGCTTGAAAAACACAGAATTTATATTTGGTATATTTGATTCCTATATTTTTTTTAATGCTTCTAATATATAAGCAGTGAATGAGGGTGAGAAAGAGAGTCTTTTAGCTTAACTCATTCAGTATCAGTGAAATTACTATGCATTTGCTAGGTTCTGCTTACGTCATAGTTTCTTCTTCTTCTTCTTTTCTCTACTCCTAGAATGCCTCCGGCATCAGGGCAGTAAGAAATCTTTAGAAAGAGCCCTTCTGTTCACTTTGTATAATGTACTTTTCAGTGTCTTTGATATTTCTGTAGTTCATCTTCTGCACAGTTGACCTCTCTTACCATTGTATGTGTATAACATTGCTCTCTGTGGTGCCCTTCTGATGCCAGTCTTGTTACATGGCCAAACTGTTTGGTTTGTTGTCTACATTCAGTATTGATTCTGTGCCAACTTTCTTCCTTATATCATTGTTCCTAAGTCGATCTTTCCCCATTACACCTAGCATAGTAGGTAAACATTTTATTTCTGTCATGACTATTCTCCTTCTGTCGTCTGAAGACAGCATCCAGGTTTGACATTGACAGCATAGCTCTGGTAGGAATATTGTGGCAAACAGTGTTCTTTTAGTGATCATATTCACATGCTTACATCTTATCATATTCTGACAATGTTGTTCCTCCATCAAGTTGCACATTAACCCACTCTCGTCTCAGTCTTTGCTTTAAATCCCACTTCACATGGTGTTATCATTGAAACTCCTACAGACATAAGTTTATTGGTTAAAATTACAACTTCGTAGAACGTAACAACTTTAAGTAACATCCACCTAAACTCAAAAGAGTTAAATGGGAATGACAGATATATCTGCAAAGACCAGTTGCTGTTTCAGTGGGTATGATGGACATTTCTGCCCACAACTTTCTGTGGGTAAGTAGCTAATGGGCTTGATGAGTTACTTATTACCATCATTTTAATCAATCAATCAATCAGTTCTCTTTATGCCTAGTAGCACAAGAGGCTTCAGAGATGACTTTCCATACTTTCTTGTCCTGTGCAATCTTCAGTGCAGTTTTCCCTATCAGAGATAGTGCACTAAGTTCATTTTGCATCGTTCATCTCCATGTTGTTTTTAGGCACTTCTTCTTTCTCTTTCCCTCTGGTGTCCATGTGAGAGCTGTTTTGGCAGGTATAGCAGAATTCATTTTTATGATGTAGCCAATAATATATATTTTGTAAGTGTATCCTGAATTATGTACATCTTTTTTATTTTCTGCTTTTGTTGTTGTATACCTTCAATTTGTCTCATGATCATGTAGTTGTTTGCACTTTTCCGTCTTTCCAGACGACAGTGTTATATTGTGTCATGAGAAGGCAGGGGGAGCACAGCCCATTGTAATGGCGAGTGTGACTGGCAAGAGAAGAAAATTCTTCCACAATGTGAACATGGGATTGTCAGGACTGTTGTTGCCATCAAATGTATTTAATGTTTTTCTTCTCCGAGGCTCAGCTCTCATCCTTTCTGCAATAATTTCTTGCTTCTTTCTCATTCCTATCCTGTTTGCCCCTTCCATGCAACACCACTTATGGCAGTTTTGGATTAAAAATGGTGAAGATAACTTTAAGGACAATTTGAATGCACTGATAAATGTGAAGACTTTGCCCAGTGCTGATTGATTGTAACCAGTCTAATGACAGCCTTTCTTAATCAGCAGTTATAAAATATCTGATATTTTACAGTTTTATCTCACTGCTCCTCATATGGGTCTCGTTAACGTAAAAACAAAACCTATATTTATCAACATATCAAATCTCTGTGTTGATTCTTGGGTCCCTTTGAAGAAGAAAAAAAGAAAAAAAAAAAATATATATATATATATATTCCACCTGAGTTTACAGCTGGTGAGCACAAAGAAGAATATATTACATGATGATGATGATAATGATGAGTGAAGTTTTAAAGTATGTACTAAGCATATGAAGTTGCAATGATCACATGTTGACTAAAGATTGCTTATTCAGACATTAATATTGTTTTTTCAATCATCACATTTTCAGGTTGTGCTGTTTTCACAGGGAAAGACACAAAAATGGCTTTAAATTCAAAATCAAAGCAAACCAAGTTTTCAAGAGTTGAAAGGTATCAACTTAAGTGCTTCTCTAGTGCCTGGGTTTGTAGTTAGAGGGAACTATGTAGCATTAGACTGAAGTTTTTCACCACTGTTTGCATAATATACTAAAAATTTTTCTGGCAATCCATACGATTTTGAAAAAGTCTAATTTGCTTAAATTTTCAGTACACAAATATAAAATTAGGATAATGTATTTTTTGTAGTCTTCTTTTTCCTCAGCATTCCGAGCCCTTGAGGCTCATTGTTGCAGATATCACCCACCTCCATTCATCTCTCTGGTGGGCCTTTTCTTTCCAGCTGGTGACACCAAGTGTTTGTAGATCTGTCTGGATATTATCTGCCTAATGGTCTACGACCATTCAGCTCCCTTGTTTGTATAGTTTTTACCTCTCTATCATCTGACATATGGTCAGTATGCCCCAACCATTTCTGTCTATTAGCCCGCATGATGCCAATGATCAGTGGTGATTTAAACAGATTATGAATTTTGTTGTTGTTTCTTACCCTTTATTCCCAGCTGTTTGCATCTTTGATAGGTCCAAAGATTCTCCATAAGATTGTTTTCGAAAATCTGTAATATGAATTCATCTCTTTTAGTTGTTCTCCAATTTTCAGAGCCATATAAGACACTGGTCTTAACAGCGATTTATATATTTTGATCTTGAAGTTGTGAGACAGAGATTTTGACTTTAGCAGATGTTGAAAAGCATAGTACACTTTATTTCCAGATTGTATTCTAGATTGCATTTCTTCTCTCAGCATGTTGGAGCAGTTGAAGTTTGCACCCAAGTACTTATATTTCCATTTGTTTGATTTTCATATTGTACATTTTTGTGTGGCAAGAGTTTATATACTTTCCTTGTCTTGTTATTACCATATATTCTGTCTTATCTTGACTGATAACTAGTCCCACTCTGTGAGCTGCTTCTTTTAAGGTAGTCAGTGTTTTTACTGTCTCTAGTTCAATTTTTCTCCAATGAAATCAATGTCATCAGCATAACCAAGTTTCTTGTAGTTTCTCCTATAGTACTCTTCTTTCAATATCGTTATTATTTTCTCCTGGGCCAAGTTGAAAAGAAGTTAGGACAGAGCATCACCTTGCTTTAAACCAGATGTTATTTGAAAATCGTCTGTCTTTCTGCCTTTATATGCTATTATAAGTGTCTTCCATACATAATTTGGTCTTGGTGATTAACTTCTAAGGCATTCCAAGGAGCCAACAGTCTGCATATAAATGAGTCAGATCTGTGAACAGATGTGCAAGAAACATTCCAAAATTTCTGCCAGAGTTTACAGCTGGTGAACGTGAAGAAAAGATATGATGCATCTTAAGGATTACAGAACAATCTGTTATATAATCTTTCGATTCCTGTGAATCTAGCATGAAAATAATCATTATAATAATGTTTTACCAAGTCCTGAAAGACTTAGAATGCCTGAAAATGTACATCTACTCCTGTCTTTTGAAATATTACATAATGAGGTTCAGTCTCTTCCACCTAGTAACTTTCCTATGTAAGCCATGAGAATAGTTGGGAAAGGCTTCTCTCACTTCTCAGACACCTGCCCCTCAACAGCAAGATTATTGTATAGTGCCACTCATTGACCACTGTATGGCCAAAAATTCCTGAAACATCCTAAAGATGATTGAGTATCAACTGGCTGAAGAGTTGGGAGGAATATTGGGTTTCACTTGGGTTTTTGAATCCTAGGTAAGGTGATTTTTTTCTGTCAGGGTAAATAAAGAAATCATATTCTGCACAGTTCATGGCAACAGCATAAGCCATGCTGTCCAAAATCCTTAGGCTCCATATTGTATTCCCCTCTCTCCCTCCTCACTGCACCCTACGCCACTCTATAAAGTGGTACATACAGGCAATAACAATAGCTTTTTAGGAGGTAATGATGCAGATCTTTATTATAAAATGTAAAACAATGATGTATATCTTTATTTTTTTTAATGAAAGATAATAATATAGATTTTTTTTTTTAAATGTGAGATAATGATGTAATTCTTTATAGAAATGTTTGCCATTTTCATTCAGTGTCTTTTATGCTGTTGCAGAAAGATGAACACTTTCCTGGTTGTATTCCTTGTTGTCTTGTTGCTGGAGGCTGTGCTGTGCACTGCGTTGAAGTTTCTGTTCGAAACCAAGCATGGAGTTCCATGGTATGTGCCCAGGGAAACCTCAAAGGCAAAGGTAACCGACAGCATTTTGGTTTGTTGTTGTGGATATGATACTAAACTCTTTAAATTCCAGAGAGGTTTAACACAGATTTCCAAGAGTAAAATTAAATGTCTGTTTTCTTCTGGACTCTTCTGACCACCTGAACCACAGACACATCATACTGTTGTAGACTTTCTGGGATGTTACCTTTCCATCCTGTTCTTAGTCTACCTCATGCTCTACATTATTCTCCTAATTTGGTGTATGCCTTGTATTGTATGGCATCACAAGGTATTCTCTTTAAGTGGGCAAATCATTTGATTTGCTGTCTCTATATGTAATTTAGAATTGGATCTGTGCCAACTTTTTCTCTTATGACTTCATTCCTGATTTTACCACTTCTGATCATTCCTGCAGCTCTTCTCGTACATCTCATTTAATGGTTACTAATTTTATTTTCTTGCTTGTTGTGAATGACCATGTCTGGCACTGGTAGCATAGAGTGGAAATGAATATGCTTTGTATGAGGCGTATCTAATACAAGTGTACCCGCCTTTTAAGGACAGTATAGGACAGGGGTATCTTGAGGCTGAGGATTAAGAGCAGCATGCCTAGTGGGGTCTCAACAATGACTATTTTATCAGGTTGAAGAAGGTATCTGAGATTTCTTTTTGTTGGATGCTGTCCAACATGTAGTGTCAAACCTTCGGGTAGCAGTTCTTGATGATATACATAAGAAAATAGTAAACATTTTACTTTCATTACACAGGTTGTCAGAGTTATAGAAAATAGTATAAACTGGTACTGTAAACATATGATGTCAGGCTTTCATATGTATATATATATATTTATATTTTTATTTTACTTAAGTACATACTTTATCAGCCTTTCATTGTTAGAGAATACTCTATTTATTGTATCTCAGATGATTTCTATCATGTTTAAAGACTTATAGAGCATTCTTAAAAGTTTATTGTGATGCTTTATTTCCTCAGGTTGTTAAAGTCATAGAAAATACCTTGGCCTTCATGATTTTGTTCAATTATATTATTCCGATTTCCCTCTATGTTACAATTGGTAAGTATATTTGTCTTCATCATCATGTCATCATATAAACCTTAACATAATATATCATAAAAATCATCATCATAATCATCCTCATCAGATTTATCATCATGAAATCATAATCATCATCATCAGAATAATCGTTTTCATCATCAAAATCATCATCATCATCATCATCATCATCAGAATCATCATTTTCATCATCAAAATCATCATCATCATCATCAGAATCATCATTTTCATCATCAAAATCATCATCATCATCATCAGAATCATTGTTTTCATCATCAAAATCATCATCATCAGAATCATCGTTTTCATCATCAAAATCATCATCATCATCAGAATCATCATTTTCATCATCAAAATCATAATCATCATCATCAGAATCATCGTTTTCATCATCAAAATCATCATCATCATCATCATCATCATCATCATCATCATCAGAATCATCGTTTTCATCATCAAATTCATCATCATCATCAGAATCATCGTTTTCATCATCAAAATCATCATGCGTGGGCCAATCGGGTTCCTTTTTGTCTTCAGTCTCAAAGTCTCTTAAAGTGGGTTGAAGTGTCTGAGCAAGAATCAGGCTTGTGTAGGGTTCTAATCACTTTAGGTCGTGCATGCAGGGATTGGCCAGCTGGTGCTGCAGAATCAGAAGGTTAACAAATGATTCCTGACAACTCTCACCCAGGTGATGCAATGCCTGGCATATGATAACACAAATCTAATTTGGGAATGGGGGTTAAGGGTGTTTTCTGCTGGCTTGAGAATCAGCTGTACATTCATGCCGTGATTGTAACTTACTCACAGAGCATGTGGAGAAAGTTTGAGACAGGCGTGCTCCATACAGAGTGGCAAGCATTGCTACAGAGGTCCTGGGTAGTTAGCGTCTTTTGGATATTTTCTCCAGATCATGCTGGTGTGTTGGGAAATGAGCTGGCAGATAGACTCGCTGGTTCTGCACCCCTTGGTGGTGTATGGTGAATTGTGAATTGATGAATGACAAGCAAGATGTTATGAGGGTCCTTTGGGAGTGAGTGAACAGTACAGTGGCACAAATTGATCCTTACAGTCTGAGGAGAATGGCACTGTAAGGAGTCACCAGAGAATCAGGCCAACGCTCAAAACTCAAGGGAAAGGGGATGCAGTCGAGTCTGGATAAGTAGAAGTATTGTGATGTTATTTTGTAAGCAACTAATTGAGAATTCAAACTGAATTAAATTAAAACTGCTTTCAGTTGAAATAAAAAACAAAATACCACAATGCACCATCCATGTAAGTGGAACAGTTTTAACATCTGGTGCAATGTGGCTTGTAGAGTTCAAAATAAAAATTACCATGGGAAAAGAAAACATCATTTTTAGCCACATTTTCAGAAAAGAAAAGGCTGAAATATATTGTGACAGCTAGACTGATTTAAGGAAAGGGGAAAAAAGGAAGATGAGAGGAGATTCTTTATGTTACATTATGGAAAGGTGTCAGCAAACAGAATTATTGAGACGGTAAAAAATGTTGAATTAAGGAGCTGTGGTATCTTAGTCACCAGATGCTTGCATGCCAGCTTTAAGATCACATGTTTGAAACTGCCTTAAGTCAGATTTCATGTAGCGGATCTTGGTCTCCAGGTCGACCCAACCTAAAATGAGTATCAGAAAGTCTCCATGGAAGTAAAGATGGCCGATGTGACTTGAGCCCATTACCTACCAAATGCAGACTGGTCATTAAAAAAATGGCTTCAGCACCATATGTCTGATGTGCCTATTGTGTGAAAAGGATTTTTTTGTTCTTCTATTTAAACAGTTGCTCTTTGTGTACCTTTAAGTTTATTGTTTATGTTTATTCGATGCATCAACATCATGGCACACGGGTGTTGCCCATAAGTGCTCTGTTCTACTTCTAACTCAATCCTGAGTCTGAAGAGGTGACATTACGGGGAAAGAATAGACCCACTGTCTCTTATGCTGAAATTAGATGTGTCAGACAGAAACCTGCAGATATCACTGCTTTGATGTAAACCACAACACAATGTGCCAACTGCCCTTTAATTGAAGTGCAAAAGAAAAAGAAGAAGAAGAAAAAGAAGATGAAGAAATCATCATTATCATTGGCCTACTGGCAGCAAAAGAGATAGAGGCTAACATTGACGGTAAAAGCTGATGGTTAGAAATATTTCTTTTTATATTCACATTTGTTCTTTTATATCTTAGAAATGCAGAAATTCCTGGGATCACTGTTCTTCAGTTCAGATATAGGGATGTATGATCCAACAATTGATGAGTGTGCTCAGGCCAACACTTCTGATCTTAATGAAGAACTTGGCCAGGTATGGCTTGTTGATTTTGATAGTTTATGATTTTCCTGCATTTGCAGAATTCTGAACCCAAATTGTCTAGTAAAACCAAACAACAGCCAGTAAAGGCAGCAATAGATTTGTGATGTCCTGAAGAAGATAAGCAATGTTTTTTTCCAGGGGTAGGAATTGATTTTCTGTTTTTTCTTAATGTTAACTCTTCCAGGACAGTATTGTTTCTGGGGTTTGGACAAAATTATTATTTAGATGAATTATTTTACTGCAACATGACAAAGCTAAAACCTTCCTCAAGAAAATGCATTGGTTGTATAGTGATATGTAATCATCATCATCAGTTCTCGTTATGCCTAGTGGCACAGGAGGCTTCAGAGAGGACTTTCCATGCTTTCCTGTCCTGTGCAATCTTCAGTGCAGTTTTCCATGTCAAAGATGCCGCACTTAGGTCACTTTCCATCGTTCGTCTCCATGTTGTTTTTGGGCGCCACTGTTTTCTCTTTCCCTCTGGTGTCCATGTGAGAGCTGTTTTGGCAGGTATATCAGAAATCATTCTCATAACGTGGCCAAGCCATTTCCATCTTCTCTTGGTAATCATACTGTCTAAAGTTTCTTGGTTTGTGGCTTGAAGTAGTTTAGTGTTTGAGATTGTATCTGGCCAGACAATTTTGATAATTCTACGTAGACATGTGTGGTGGAAGGTGGACAGCTTGTGTGCATCCTTTTTGGTCATTCTCCAGCATTCCGCTCCATAAAGAAGAACTGGCAAAATGATGCTCTTGCAGAGTCGGAGTTTTGTTTCTCTGCAGTAATTGTTGGATTTCCAGATTTGCCTCATCCTTCTAAAAGCAGCTCTAGCTTTGTTCAGGCGTGACTGTATGTCTTCCTCTGTCCCTCCCAGTCGGGACACCACACTGCCAAGATATGTTAAATGTTCTACATTTTCAAGTGATTGGTTACTTATGGTCACTGGTTGTTGGTTTGGACTGTTTGTCATAATCTTAGTTTTCTTTGTATTTATTCTCAGTCCCACCATTTCTGCTGTGCAGTGTAGTCTGTTACTTTTCTCTTGTATATGTTCATGTTTATGTGATAGGAGTGCTATATCATCTGCAAAATCATGGTCCTCAAGTATTGTGAATGGAGTCCATCGTATGCCTCTTAATGTCCTGTCTACTGTGTTCTTTAGTATCCAATCAATCACAAGGTTGAATGGGAGAGATGACATAACATATCCCTGTCTTACACCTGTCTTTACTGGGAAAGATGTATTGTAATTTTTTTATACTGCAGGAAAAGTCTTTATAGAACAGAGCAATTTTGTTGACTATTTTTTCTGGAATTCCATAATGTCGTAAAATTTTCCACAGACCGTCTCTATGGACGCTGTCAAAAGCTTTCTCAAAGTCCACAAAATTAATATATATACTTCTCTGCCATTCGTTGCATTGTTCTAGAATGTTATGTATGGCGAAGATGTGCTCAGTTGTTCCTCTGCCCTTTCTGAATCCTGCTTGTTCCACTCGTAGGCATTTATCTACTCCTTTTTCAAGCCGCATTATGATGATTTTACAAAATATTTTGCTTGGTACTGAGAGTAGAGTAGTGATATGTAATACATCAAATAAAAGAGAAATAAATGCAGAATACATTTAATCTATTTAAGATCAGTATAGCAATAATAAAATATCAAAATGACACCAACATTCAAGGATGTTAGACACACATTTTTTTTTTACACATGTAATTTTGGGCTTACTTATTTTTTCTTCAAAACTTGATCAGCAACACTGCTATCCACTTCTAAGAATTCACTTGCCTTCTCTATTCAACTATGCATCCGCTTGTCTTTATTAGAGACAAATTATTGAAAAACTTTGTATTTTATGACCAATTTTCTTTGCCGTCTCAAATTTCAGAACAGCCAGACACGGCTGGTTGAAACAGGCATGTTCTGATTGAACATTTAGTTCAAACATCCTCCCTACTCTTAATGTTGGAATATAAGTCACACTAGAATTACTTTTTTCTTCTTCATCTAATAACCACTGCATAAGATCTTAATTCTGAGTTTTGGTTACCCTTTGAGCTCTCTCTACAGTGGGTGTTGAAGGGTAGGAAGCTGCTATTTCAGGAAAATCACATAAAAAGTGTGTTGGAAGTATGTTGGGATCCCAGAACCCACATTAGGCAGACTGAATTTGAAATATAGTATCCTGCTTTCCCCATGGGGTTGTTGGGTTCCATTTTGGAGGCAAACAGTATAGACCCACTGCCTGTTAAAAAGAATTTCATAAAAGGTTATTTAGTGAAGGGTTTGCTGAAACTGAGTATTATTAGCTGAACTATACATGTGACAGCCTAGCTGTAAACCACAACATGCCAGCCACCCTTTTTAAAAAGGTAAAGCAGCAGCAGAAGAAGAAGGTATATCCTATTTAACGTTTTTATTTTAAATTTGGGTTACATAGGTTTATATTTTTTCAGCTCGCTTACCCGTCTCTGCCTCCTGGTCATAGTTTTGAATCTCCATCGAGACTGATTTCTAAAATTGATCCACGCTGCCTGGTCAGTCCAGCCTAAAACTGGGCACCAGGAAATGTTCTACAAAGTAAAGATGACCATTGTGATATTGACCACATCACCCACAGAGTCTCCGTTGCTCTAGAAATACATTTAATTTTATTAATTTAATAATTTGTTTGACTTGTTTATATTTTGCCTCCAGTTTTTTCAAGCACCTTCTAACTTATTTCTTTTCGTAACATAGCCCTTCATGTCCATATTTTCTCCTCATATGTATTTTTTGCTTTCAGGTTGACTTTAGTTGTTTATAAGCTTTGTTGTCTTGTCCATTAGGTTTTCCAGTCACAGTTTGTCTTGTATTTAGTACAGCATTGGTAAATATTTTGGTCATAATGTTCGGTTCAAAGCAAAAGCTGCATTTCAGAAATGAAAAATATCTTATGCTATAAATCACTCTCATTTAATGTCAGAAAGATGGTGCTAAAATGTTTCATAGAACCTGTTTTGCTGTGTGGCAGCGAATCTTGCAATGTCAGTGAACAAACTAAGAAGGATTCGGAAACAACAGAGATGTGGTTTCTGAGATGAATACCTTGAAAGGCCAGAGTAACTAACAACGATTGCTTGAAAGAAGCTAATGAAAGTAGATCTCCATATACAACAATAAGACAGAGACAAACACTGTTCTTTAGCCACAATGGAGAACATCATGACACTGGAAAAATCAGTAAAAAAAAGGGGTAGAGACAGACAAAGAGAGATTATGCTGGATGGGCTGAAACGATGGCATGGAGGGATATCTTCAAGAGAGCTGTTCCAGGCAACCTTGATCTGTAGAGGCATGAGGGCCTACGCCAGTGGCAGGGCACATGATGATGATGATGTTGGGTTGTATTGTACATATCTTTTCCATTCCCTCTGTTGAGCTGTCTAGTCAGACATTTTATTGTGTTTTAGCACTTCTCATTAAAAGAATAGAACCAGCAGCATGGTAGGTTACTGTGTGGCTAGTCTTTACTTTCATTGTGGGCAGCAGACAATTATCAGAAAAAATATCCAGTGCCCATCTTGAAGACGTGGTAAAAATCATAGATGTAGATGTTTACGAAATGCAGAATCTGAACCAGATCACCCAGATATGTGATCAGTTTATTTCACCCCTTCACTGATTTTAAAAAAAAAATCATTAGTGCATGTCATAAATGGGGTGGCCATCTTGAAACTGTCATTATGACATTACCATGTTTGTCTGCACCCTGAGGCTTAACACTCTTGACATCCTTAATAATAATATTGACAGGTTACAAGACAATGTGTCCTCACATCTATCCATAACTTTCTGATTTGTGTACTGCCAATTATTTCTGATATATGTACGTGTTTCAGTGCCTGCACAGAATAGAGGGAATTAAATGGTATGATAGAATAACTAATGTAGAACTTTGGGAGAGAACTAAACAGGCTCCAGTGGACCAAGAGGTGAGGAAAAGATGCTGGCGTTGGATAAGACACACACTGAGAAAACAGGAGAACAGCATAACTAGAATGTCTTTGCATTGGAACCCACAGGGGCATAGGAATAAAGGAAGGCCAAAAAACACATGGAGAAGAGAGCTGGAGAATGAAGTTAGAAAGATGGGGAGGACATGGGGAGAGCTCCATGTAATGGCGAAGTATAGAACGACTTGGCATGAGTTGGTTGAGGGCCTATGCTCCATTGGGGGATAGAAAGGCAGAAGAAGAAGAAGTACATGTTTCTCTGTACTGTTGTGTCTAGCATCTTCTATTTTAGTCTTCCCTTTGTTATGTTCTCCATCAGTTTGTATGTTGTTACAGTATACTCCAGTTTTTTTAACTTCTCATAATGTGCCTAGAGTGTTCTGGGTAACCAGTTGTTTGCTACATCTAGATTGTGTTTTTTTATCTCTCTCTCCCTAGGTTGAATATTTATTCACAGACAAGACTGGCACTCTGACTGAGAATACAATGATGTTTAGACGATGCTGTATTGGCAGTCGCCAGTTTGAGGTGGTAGATGAAACATTTTGTGAAAGGCTGGACAATGGCACCATTAAAGTCACATCAGATGTGCAGTTTACAGTAAGTCACACCAAGCATTTTAAAACAGAAAGGTAGGTAGTTGTACCCCACTAGGATATCACACAAGTGATAAACACCTGGTGGCACAACGTGCCACCATGCAGACGAGGATCACCCATGGAAAGGTCCCAGAAACCCCTTTCAGCTGATATGGCCATATCTATAACTAGGCCATATTTATGGCCCGGCTATATTTAGGACCACCCACAGAGGCCAGGGTGGGGCTTCAAATAACAAAAACCTGCATCCCACAAGGGGACGACTTATCATATATTTTAAAACAGAAGTATTAATATTAATAAATTAAAAATAATATCAGCTCCTACAGTTAGGTTACTCTGAAGTTTATTCCGTTTTGACTTTCATAATTGTTATCGTCATGGGCACTGCCGCACGCTGTTCATGTTTCTCCATGTATCTTGATGCTTGCTGTTCTGGATCAGTTATATTGATGACATTCCTTTGTATGATCATCTTAGACCATCCATTATCTTCTCTGTCTCATGGATCACTGATCTATGCAGTCATCACAGTGTTCCACAATGCCTTTTTTATTAACACAGAACCAAAAAACACTGTCTCTTTCTTAGAGTTGTATATATTTCCTACTTATATTAGCTTTTTCAGGCAAATATTTACTCTGTCTTTCAAGTGTATCAGAAATTTTTTTCTTTAAAATTGCACCTGTGCTGCAAAGCTTGAAATGAATTGTGTATGTTTGTTTGTGTGTTGTGACAAGAACAGAGAAAGAGAGAGAGAGAGAGAAGGAGAGGTTGGGGTTAGTCTTTAATGACTCACAGATTTAGTCGCAGACATTAATTGAGAAAGTTATGGGTTCAATTACAGATTATATCATTAAAGGTAAAGATGATGTGAAAAAGATGACGGACTAAGTATCTTTCTAAAAATTCTATGAACTGAATGAAGGAAGCTATACTTTGTTTACCTTTTTCTTTTTTAACCCTGCAGGAGGAAATGTACAACTTTTTTAAGGTGCTGGTTCTGTGCCATACTGTAAGAGTTGACCGTCACCTGGGTCAGTATGGGGATGAGACTGTTTGGTATAACTCAACGGAAGAAGAGTATGAATATCAAGCAAGTTCCCCAGATGAGAAGGCACTTGTAGAAGCTTGTTGCAAGTAAGAGTTGAAGAAAATAAACAGACTGATGGTTCTGAAAAAGGTTTTTTTTTCCCAAACAGTACTTTTGAAACATTGTGAGAATACATAAAAAACACAAATGTTAGCTACTAGCGATTTTTACTCATAAAATAGATCACAATCACAGCAAAAAATAAAAGCTCATTTATCATACTAAGATAAAACACTAAGAAAGTATTGAACAATTCAACAAAATTAATTCATAATTTATTTCTTCTTCTTATAGACGTGCAGTAGGACAGACAATTATTTGTTCTATATCAGGTATGACTGAACTACTATGTAACAATAGTCAATACTGCCTTTTTTATGTTATCGCTAAATGCTGGGCAGCGTATACCAAACCTGACATCCCACACTGTGCCAACAGCTTCGGGCAGAGAAGTGAATTGGGGAGAATACTAGCCTTATCCTAGAAGAGGAAATGCAACCTGATAACTTCATTATTTCAGCCCAGCCCTTAGCCTTGGCTGGTCTAGGAGGAAAGCCATGGCAGATGGACAGATAAAGCACTGCTCTTCTGATCTAACAGCTTCTTCAGCATGATTTGTTCCAAACAGATTGGTGTTACCTTTCCTCTGGAGTAAACAAGGCAGGCTAAGTGAGGAATCATGATGCATGGATAACACATGGTCTCTACAATACTGCCCAGGCATTGTGCTTATGAGTCACACTCACCATCACTATGGACTATGATTCCCATGCCTCCCCAAAGTACATTAAAACACTGTCATCTACTTAAGAAGATAGAGACAGGATGGTTTTGAAAAAGATTGTTGCATTCACTGGAGAAAGCTGGTCTGATAGGATCAATTTCTTTTTTGTGCCAAGATACTCTGGGGTAAGAGGGAATAAGTGAGCAGATTGGCTTGCTGGCAGGATCACGGGAGGAACAGCACAAGCAATGGCCCAGGCCTACATTGTCAATGCTGTCAGGGAGACAGGACAAGAAGATGATTCAGAAGACAAGGATGAGTCAACAACACTCAAAAGACTAAAAGAAGTTCAGGTCAAAAGAGGTGTTGCCAGACATGAACACTATACAGGTAGCCAAAGAAGAATAGTAAACCAACACAGTACTTGTGATATCAGTCGCCACACACTGGGAGATATACTGAAGATAGGATCTGTGCGCTTATGGACCTGTTTGATGTGCAGTGAGGATAATCTATCAATTAACTAACAATCATCTGGACAGACAGAGAGCTGCCAACAACAGCCAGACATACGTGTAGTAGGAAAATGTTTACATAGTATAACTCTACTTGAAGTTTTATTTTGAGTCTATTTGCATACATATATGTACACATGTGTGTCCAAAAGTAGGATACCAGCTTTTTTTGGTGGTATTTTACAATCTTTCTGTTGTGATTTCTGAGAAAATGTTTATCAGAATGCTGTATATATATTTAATAGAAAGACCATAGCTCTGATTCATTTTATAATAATTTTCATGAAGACTTGATTGTTTTAAAATAATCTATGTGTCCTGACTCTTTGTTATATCTTTTCTGTTGATTGTTTTAAAATAATTTACATGTCCTGACTCTTTGTTATATCTTTTGTTCTGACTCTTTGTTATATCAATGAGAAGGCTGGTCAGCATATATAGGATTGATGTTTCCTATAAAGTGGAAGGGCCTCTGCCTGAGGAACCAGCAGTCTGCACACAAATAAGCCAGATCTGTAAAATGGGAGTGCATGCAACACTCAGGTCCTGGAACAAGACCAAAGTCCAGAAGAGGATGAACAGCCAGGATGTTCCACCAGTTTACAGATGGTAAATGTGAAGAAGAAATAGTTTTGGTAAAAAGGCGGCAAGGAAAGGAACTGACCTTCCTATCTCATTTTGTCAAAGCCTAGAATATAACAGATGATTTTAGGTGAGGGGAAAAAGCTTCAGTATACTGGATTGTATCCCATGTAGCTCTGTCTCTTTTAAGTGAGCAACTTGTTATCTGCCACAAGCACACACCTTTGTAGCACCAGTGATGATCCCCAGGGATCTCTGAAGCAACTGTAAATGTCTGGCCTAACCTTCCTCTTTGTGCCGGATTATGGGGGTGTTTGAGGCAACGAGTGTGCAGGTTATCTTGCAGACACTGATTGCTATGGATGGTCCAGTACTGGACAGAAGCGATGTTATCAATGATATGCGCTGCACTTACACCGAAGATAAATGTGGCAAAGGACAAGACTCCATTTCCATGTCTAGGCTGATGAACATGGTGGTGTAACCTGGAGGTGCAACCTGGAAATGCAAGAAATGAACATTTCATCAATGGAACAAGATGTTTCATTAGTCAACACAGAAAAGGAATCATCAGTCATTTCACACCTGTGGAGCTTTTGAGGAGAAGGTGGGAGCACCTACGGATCTGTCTGGAGTGCTGTGATGGTAAATCTTCACTGATCTGTAATCACCTCTACTGATTAAACAAAGGATTTGATCCAGTAAGACTTTTAAAACAAAAGACAAAAAGGCTTACCACTTCACCACTGACCTAACTAGAATATGTAAAGGCTAACATTTCAGAACCAAAAGGATAAGCCTACCACAGTACTAAATGTTTATAAATGTATTCATTTTAGCACTAAAAAAAATTCTTTTACTGAGAGATATGGTAATGTAGTGACTGGAGGCTTGATACCAAACTGAAAATCTAGGGTTCAGATCTGTATCATGGTAGATTTTTTTCAAAAATGACCTTGTTTTCCAGGTTGACCCAGCTTTAAATAGATACCAGGTAATAAGCTAGAACAGTGATTCCCAAACTGCTTCCTAGTGCCCCGGGGAGCTGCGACCTCTTCACAGGAGCGCCGCAAAGTATTCGAAGATACACAAGTTTTTTTTTTTTTTTTAAATCTCTTACATAGGAATAGTCATACTTTTACTTAGGTTAGGCTGCTGTGGAAAAATGTTCATTGAAAAAAGGTGCTGCGACTAAGAAAAGTTTGGGAAACACTGACCTAGTTGGTAAAGATGGCTGGAATGTTAACCACATCACCCATTGAGGGCCGACTGGTATATAAAAATATAGGTCTAGCCCAATATGCCCGATGGGCCAAAGTTATGGAAATTGCCCTTTACTTACTTAAGCTCTATTATTTCATTATTTTGGGAACAGATATGGAATCATTTACCATGGTACAAGTGACGGCATCCTTCGGGTCTCATTTCACCAGGAGATGAAAATATTTAAGCTATTGCATACATTACCCTTTGACCCTATGAGGAAAAGAATGAGCATTATTATTCAGGATGAAAATGGTGAGTAAAATTACAGTTAAGTTAGTGGCATATTCTTGACATTACATTGCAGAACATTGTAACTGACACAGTATGTTGAGAGAGGTGGAGACAGGTATGCTCTATGCAGATTGGCAAGCATCACTTCAGATGTCTATTATAGTTAGCGTCCTTTGGATATTTTCTCCAGGTGATGCTGGTGTGTTGGGAAATGAGCAGAGGGACAGACTGGCCGGTTCTGCACCACTTGGTGGTGAATTGATGTATGACAAGCTAGATGTTGTGAGGACCCTCTGGGAGCAAGTGAACAGTGCAGAGGCACAAATAAATCATTATGGTCTGAATAAGAATGGTTCAGCAGGGAGTTACCAGGGAATCTAGCCAACACTTATCACTCAAGAGAAAGACAAAACAGATGTACAGTCAGACAGTTACTGTTACCACCAAAACTGGAACTGTTTGCTTGCTGCTGAAGATAGGGGTAGAGTGCTTTTATGAGTGTTGGCGAATGCTATGATGTTGATTTTCAATTCAACATTCAACATTTATAGAAGGTTGCTCTCGTCATGACATGCCTGAAAGTTTCTCTTTCTAGAACCATTTCTCCAGCCCTGTGTGCTTTCATAGCCAGTGCATCTTCAGTGTTTTCTATCTATTTTCATGGAGGTCTGCCTCTGCCTCCTCTTCCAGAATCTGTACCTTTTATCACCATTTTCTCCAGGCTACCATAACGTTCAACATGGCTAAAGTATAATACATACTATAAAAGAGGATTGTGTGAGACTAGTTATCTTATTCCTTGCAAAACTAGCCTCAAAATCCAAAATGTCATCAAGTTTAAATGAATGCAAGTTCATCAAAAGTTTTACTTTGAGCTGGTTGAGAGCCTATGCTCCACTGAAAGATAAAGGCCATAAAGGAATTACTTATTGTGGCTTAACGTAAATTGCGGCACAAAAGTCAAGTTTTAAAAGCTAAGTAAAGCTAACTAAGACTTGGAGTTGACTTATGGTTGGTATAAAATCTCAGGAGGTGTAGTGTAACTCATAATTTTGGGGAAAACAAATCTTGAGGTTGGCTTGTACACCAGGTTGACTTGTACACCAGGTTGATTTGCAGCTCTGATTGACTTGTACACCAGGTTGACTTGCACACCGGGTTGACTTGTACACCAGGTTGACTTGTACACCAGGTTGACTTGTACACCAGATTTATTTGTACACCAGGTTGATTTGCACCTCTGATTGACTTGTACACCAGGCTGGTTTGTACCTCTGATTGGCTTGTACACCAGGTTGACTTGTAAACCAGGTTGACTTGTACACCAGGTTGACTTGCACACCAGGTTGACTTGCACAGCAGGTTGACTTGTACATCAGGTTGACTTGTAAACCAGGTTAACTTGTAAACCAGGTTGACTCGTACACCAGATTGACTTGCACACCAGGTTGACTTGCACACCAGGTTGACTTGTACACCAGGTTGACTTGTACACCAGGTTGACTTGTACACCACAGTTTATGGTGTATGTATGCATTTATGAATTTTTCCTACTACACCTGTTTACCTTAAGTATACCATTTATATTACATACTCGCATACATGCAAAGAACAAACTGACAAAACAGAAGGACAATACAAAGGTATATGCACACTTATGTATATATATATACAGACCCTAAATGCACACATCTACACATGCACAGAGAGACACACACTTAGAGATACAGAGACAACTATACACTTAGATCAAATAGGCAGACACAGACAAGAACAGCATATATTCATTTTAAACAATTGTTGAATTTTCTACAGAACAGTATTATCTGCTGTGTAAGGGAGCTGAAGTTGCAATACTAGACAGGGTTGTGAATGGTGACATTGACAGAGTTCAGACCCTTATCAATGAATATGCTGTGGTAGGTTCCTCTTGTTTCTGTCCATTAGTTCCCCATGAAGGAAACAGCTGCAACCATCTTTTGCCACTCCACTTAGTTGTTATCCCCATAATCATGATTATTGTCAGCAATATTATCATCATCATCATTATCACCACCACCACCCCTGCTTCACCAGCAACAACTGATCACCATAGGATTGCTAAATCATCAGTATTATTGTTGGCAACTGTTGTTTACCATAGGGTGGGTATCACATCACCATCAGCAATAGTTATTACCATAGGGTTCGTATCTTAACATCATTAACAACAGTTGTTTATCATAAGGTTGATATCTTATCATCATCACAGCAGTTGTTTATCATAAGGTTGGTATCTTTTGATCATCACAACACTTGTTTATCATAAAGTTGGGATCTTATGATCATCACAACAGTTGTTTATCATAAAGTTGGGATCTTATGATCATCACAACAGTTGTTTGTCATAAAGTTGGGATCTTATGATCATCACAACAGTTGTTTATCATAAAGTTGGAATCTTATGATCATCACAACAGTTGTTTATCATAAAGTTGGGATCTTATAATCATCACAACAGTTGTTTATCATAAAGTTGGGATTTTATGATCATCACAACAGTTGTTTATCATAAAGTTGGGATCTTATGATCATCACAACAGTTGTTTATCATAAAGTTGGGATTTTATGATCATCACAACAGTTGTTTATCATAAAGTTGGGATCTAATGATCATCACAACAGTTGTTTATCATAAAGTTGGGATCTTATGATCATCACAACAGAGGGTTGGTATCACATCATCAGCAACAGTTGTTTATCACAAGTTGGTATCTCATCATCATTATTACATTTATTTTACCAAAGGCTAACCATCTTACTATCATCATTAGCATCATCTTCATTTATATTTATTAGAATCATCAACTTCATCAAAAGAATCATCTTCATCATAATCATTAGAATCATATTCATCATCATGAAAATACCCTTTAAGATCATGGCGTTACCTTCATCTTGTTCCCATGGAATGAATGTGTTACTGGCAATTAAAGAGCAGATAGATTGTCTGTTTCTCCCATATTACAGATGACCAGTCTTTGGATTACCCAATTTTTGTAAAGGTCTTTAGAGATACAGGGGGAATGGAGGATGTTGTGGGCAGTGTGTCCATGTCATTGCAAAGAGTGCCAGAACTTGGAGTTAAGGTCATCATCAGTAACAGTTTTCCACCACAAAGTTGCTTTTTCCACCTTCTTCATTAGCACCATCAGCAGTAGTACATACATACAGCAGCACTACATACAACACAGCACCACAGTCAACACAATTTATCACTATCATCTTTATCAACACCATCATTGCCAGTAACAGTTTTACACGGCATGACTGTTATCCCCAGTTGTTATACTGAAGCATCTTACAGCAAAATGATTGTTCTTTTGTTGGTCAGTTAGGACTGCGAACCCTTGCCATAGCAGAGCGTAAACTCTCATTAGAGGAGTTCCAAGAATATCATGAGAAGTTGAGAAAAGCCAAAACGTCACTGCACAGAAGGGATGAAATGGTAAGAGATTTGACTGAATTAGAAAACTGAATTGTTGTTTGAAATACTGTTCTCTGAGTTAGAATATAAATACTTTATTCTGCTTTTTTTCTTTCTTGAGTGACAGGGATTATAATTTAACTTGGATTTAGGTATCTTCAGAGCCACGCTTTAAACACTTATTTTTTGGGGTACTTTTTTAAAGTAGTTGTATTGGGATCATTGTTTCTATGTGTTGATAAATATTTTCTAGCCTTAAGACCTATTCTGTCATTTGTTGTGTTGTAAAGCTAATTAGTTTTGTAGATTTACTAACAGTTCTGTCAGAAAATATAGGAAGATTTCCAGATACTTCTATCAGTGAATGTAGGAAGATTTCTAGATAACTCTCTCAGTGAATATAGAATGGGTACTAGGAGATGTTTAATTCTGTTGCCCTGAGAAGCTGTAAAATCTGTAATAGTCACTTAACTGACTTTTTTTATTTTGTTGAAGTTATGTGTTTACAAAAGGCATAGTTAATGTGTAAACTGTCAGGAGGTCGTGATATGAATGTATGACTAAAAATCGCGGGGGGGGAGGGGGGGGGGTGGGGGGGGGTTGGGGGGGGGGGGGGGGGGGGGGGGGGTTGGGGGGGGGGTGAAGGTTTCCTGTGAACTAATTAGCTTTTTTTTTTTAAAAGCCAATTTACGGTCAAATTTTCCAATAAGCCTCAGTGATAGAGAGAGCCCCTGATACCTATGTTTTGTTAGACCGTAATAAATGTATTTTATTGAATGTTTTCTCTGTTCCTTTATATATCTTTATGTATTTGGAATAATACATTTTTAAAAAGTAAATTAAATAAATTAAAAAAAAAAAAATTTGTTTCAAAGGTTTTTTTTCTGAAGTTTCCACATGGTCATGACCCATATTTTAGGCTTTCCCAGAGCAACAGGGTTAATAACATCATCGTCGCAGCGAATCACCAGATAGTATTGACACCTGCACAATACAGTACTTGCTGGTCCTTTTGAGGATAGGCAGAGCGAGAGGACTTCTCCGCAATTGTCATCAGATAGGATTGAAACCTACGTAACACAATACTATATCTGCTGGTCCTTGTTGAGGATAGGCAGCATCAGAACCAAAGCATTTATCAGAGCGAGAGGCCTTCTCCGCAATCACCATGTCTCGAAGAAACAAACCCAACAGAAAGCGCAACGGACAGAGGAAACAACCTACTGACCGATCCACCTGATCCATCTCGGCAGCCAGGAAGACGGAGACAGTTACTGCCAGATCACAGGAAGACGCCCTGACTACCAGTGAGGCCCTGAGTGACGTACCAACGTCACCTGAACCAACACGGCTAACTCCAGAAACATCTCCAGATCGACGAAAGACAGGCAGTTATGAATTTCCTGCCACAATATTTCTCCGACAGACCAGCTTGGGCCGGACAGCAATCACTACACTAGCAACACTAACGTTGATCAATATGCTGGAGATCATGTTAGGCAAGAGGGCAGTCGCAAAGATTAGAAGAACTCGAGAGGGAGTGATAGCTTCACTAAACAGAACCAACCGCACCTCAGACATGCTGGATGACATCCAACACAACGGCAAGAAAGAACCCCAACTGTCTGAGGAGATAACTGTGACGGCTACAATCTTCCAGAATGTAAGACGCTGGGTGATCCGAAGAGTCAGCCTGCAATGGAGCAACGAAGAAATACTGCAACAAATAAGGAAAGAAAACCCCAGTATCACAATCAACCAAGCAGAGAGACTGGGCTCAAAACGACATCCATTGCCAGTGGCGGTGATAAAATCGGAAAGAGAAGACATCCCGGATAAAGTTTACTTAAATCAAAGAATGCAAAGACCAGAGCAATACGTGCCACAGGTGATCCAGTGCTCTCGTCAAAAAGCATGGCATTCCCGGGCCACTTGTGTGAGCGAACATGAAGTATGCCGATACTGTTCACAACCACATGCCTTCAACAATTGCCCTCTGGCAAAGCTGGACACAGACTTTAGGTCTCCAAATCCGAGCAGAATGCGCGCAAACTGCTACGGCCAGCACAGCGCCAGATACCTGGGGTGCCCCTATCTGCAACAATGCCGAGACATAGCAACCACGGCCATACAGGAAAAGATTCCATACCATGAGGCCCGCAGAAGACACGAAGCAACACAAGGCATAACGACAGCTATTACCACCAAATTGAGCAACGAGATGGCTCGACTCAAAAGTGACATCCAAGCCCTCAGAGACGAGAAAGAAGCATCCAAATCCCACCGAGATGAAGACAGAGATGAAATAACAGGCCTGAGAGCTATCATGCAGGCGACTCTTGACACCCAGAAACGGATGGCAACAGAGATGACGAATTTCAAGGAGGTATCATGAATGCTACTATCCAGACACAGAAGGAACAACCAACTAAAGCAAGGGAAGACGAGACAAGCATCACTGATCTGCGGGAGACCCAACAGCTTCTCGCGAAAGAAGTCGCAATGATCAAGAAAGCATTTGCTGAAACAGAGGAAAAGTTACGTAGAGCTTACGAAGAAAACAACAGACTTAACAAGGAACTACAAGCAACCCATAGAGTTATGGAGGAAAGAGAGAAAGCATGAAAAGAAGCAGCAAGAAGGCAGCAAATACAGTCACTAAAACCTCAGGGAGCCGAGACCCAGAAAAAGCCATATCAAATACCAGACAAGAAAACACTGACGCCGCTGATGGGGCAGTTTCCAGACGAAACCACTATACAAATAAACCAACGCATCAGGGAGCTGGAGGATCTGAACTACTTTAACACAGAATTGCAAGAGGATGACGTACCATGGTCATCACCAGAAGAACCGTTCCGACAGCCAAAACCTGAAGTTAAACGAGGTCGATACCGTTACCACAAACATTAATGCCAGAGACGACACAACCAACGCCAAAATTACCTAAACCCTATGTAGGAGAAGTACTTTACAACAAGGATACGAGAAGATTACCAAATAACACCAGACCCCACCATTATTTCCTTCAGCACCTGCCCAAGGCAAGCAACCGCCGGTCCTTCTTAGGATAGGCAATCCCCTTTCCTCGGAAACAGCAAATAGCGAATGAATTCCACACAAAATCGATTCAACATCCAATGATCTGGAGCGCAGCACAGGGCCAGCCAAGTTACGAAAGCAGACAATCGAGCGGAAACCACAACAAATAGAAAGCGACAAATACTGAACACAATTCAAAACCAAATGAGATCGAGACCAGAAACGTCACCACAAATATAGCAGACAGGAAAGAGAGCAGAAATGTGATCTGACCTAGCTGAAAGTGGTCAACGTAAGAGAATTAGAATTAGAACAGGGTTAATAAGTAAAGATGACCTACAAGGTATTAACAACACCATCCTGTGAGACTAGCAGCATCAAATGTCTAATACATCCTGGAACAGGGTCCTTGTGGAACAATAATATACAATACTTAATGTCTCTTAGTTTCTCTTTCTCAAGTCTACCTGACCTTCATGTGGTGGACCTTGTTTTCCCCCACTAATTCAGTGGAAGGTTTGGGTTCCATCTCCCAGTTTTAAACTGGTAGGTAAAGGCAAAATCCAGTTCCATCAGCCAGCTACTGAGTTGTGTGCAAAATTGAGTGCTGTGAGTTGTGAGCGAATGCTTATGTCTGTGCTCCCAGAGATGTTTGTTATACAATGCATCTTCAGAAAATATTTATGGTCTGGTTGCAACAGAGTTGGCAGTGTGCCATTTACAGTAATGCATGTGCGACAAGAATAGACCCAGTGTCTCTTCAACAAACATGTTGTATAAGTCAACTAACTGGGGGCTTCCTTTGAAGTCAGAATGCATTTGTCTGAAAGGCAAGGTACCAATAATTTGCATACAAATAAATTAGATCTGTAAAACGAATGTGGACGCAACACTCAGGTTCTGGAACAAGACTTAACTCGAGAGGTGGATTCTTCTTCTTCTTCTTTCGTTCGCCTGAAATAAGTTGTCTATATCAGCAGTTTTGTCTCTTGTATAAATGTCACTGTCGTTGTTAGTTCATTCAGTGGTCCATAGAGTTTACATTCCACTGTTGTTCTTTCTGGCCAAAAGGTTTGCCTTAATGTGTCAAAATCGGTGCAGTCCTGGAGTACATGCTCTGCTGTCTGGGGCACATTTCCACAGGTGCACATCGCTGATACACCTATCTTGAATTTTGTGTACACGTGGTTACATAATCGGTTGTGCCCTGTTCTGAGGCGGAGGACTTGTTCTGGTCTGTCCATAATAAAATAGTCGTCTTGTGCTGGGGCTGGTGGTTTCCTGATCGATTTAATGATTCTTTTCTTTTGGTGGTATGTGACTGGTACATCCGGCTGCTCTTTTGTCGCACCTTCCCCTGCCAGTTGATCAGCTTTCTCATTTCCAGGCACTCCACAATGAGACGGTATCCACTGCATTACGACTCTTCGCTGAACGCTGAGTTGTGTCAGCAGTGTTTGCAATTCTGGTAGTTTCCTAGACTGGAGTGCTTCAAGTACTGATTTAGCATCTGTCAGTATTACCATATACTGTGAGCCAAGGTTGGTATTTAGCAGTTTCTCTGTAGCTATCTTGATAGCCTGGGTTTCTGCATCGTAGTTATGGCAGTACTTCCCGGTTGGTACGCTGGACTTATCCCTAGTACCATCTGGGAATTTGATGTACACTCCAGCACCACCATTTCTAACTGCACTTTCTGCGGACCCATCTGTATAGACTCTGACCCATTGTTCTTGTGGGTATTCTTCATCAATATAACTGAGGGTGGCCATTCTGCGTTGTACACTATCTTGCTCTTTCTTGTCAAAAATCCCTTTCACATTTGTCTGGATTTGTACCGTTAGTTTACATTTTTCTCTCCATGGGGTTTGCTCCGGAATACTTTTTAGTGGGCAACCAATTTCTGGAAGGTCAGGAGTTTGTCTACATATTCTTTTTGCTTGGTGTATAAAGCTGCTTCTTTTTAACCGTCCCAAGGCTAGGTTCTTGAATCTATTTTCCATTGGGTGATCTGGCATACTGAGGAACTTTTCAGCTTGTATTTGCAACTTTGTATCTCTGCGTTCTCTCAGTGCCTGTGTTTTCCCAGTTTTCTCCATTTCTAATATGGGGGTTGATTTCATCCCTCCTGTGATGACTCTGAGCGCTTGATTTTGCACTTTGTCTAACTCCTTTAATGTGGTACTAGATGCTGAACACCATGCAGTTGACCCATATTCCAAGTGTGGAAGTATGCTCTGCTTGTCTACTTTATTTAGTATTTTCCCATCGGCTCCCCATGTAGTTCCACTTAGTTTTCTTAGTATTGCTGTCTTCCTCCTGGCTTTGGTTGCTGCCTTGTTGAGAGGTGGATAAACAACCAGAACTTTCTGCTAGAGTTACTAGCCGGTGAATGTGAAAAAGAAGAAGATTTTTTTAATTATGACCTGCAATTCACTCCCAAAAATGAGGTTGCAAAAAAGTCACTTTTGTGTGCATAATTAACAGATATACCACAGTTCTGTCACCGTATTTCTTCTTTTTAGCCTTCACCAGCTGTTAACCCCACCACAAAACTCTGTTTTTTTTGTCCCCCTCTGGACTCTGGTCTTGTTTCAGGACTTGAGTCTTGCATGCACCTCCATTTTACACATCTCGCTAATTTTAATGCAGACTGTTGGTTCCTTGCCTCTCAGGCAGATGCTCTCCGACTTTGAAGGAAACACCCATAATTAGTCATCTTGTAAGACATGCATGTAAGAGAGCAGCTGGGTCTTTTCTTTTTTCCCTAAAATGGTGCACTGAAACTTCAGGATACAGTTACGATACTATTAATTGTGTCAAAGATTTGATAATGAAGAGAGAGAGAGTGACCTCGTGTCTTATGCTCTAATTATTTTTCTAATGTCCCAGTTGGCTGAAGTTTACAATGAGATAGAGCAACAACTGACACTTCTTGGAGCCACAGCTGTTGAGGACAAGTTACAGGACCAGGTGCCTCAGACAATCGAGGCTTTGAGGATGGCAGGGATTAAAGTAAGTTGTTTCAGATGAACTATCTTCTAAAATAAACCATAGTTTAAAAAAAAAATGTTTTTTTAATTTTATTAAAATTAAATGTGTGTTTTGTTTAAATAAGAAATTAAATGATCTATTCAATGCCACTGACACTTTAGGTATTGAGTGTTAGACAATTATTTGTATAGACCAGTCAGCACTCAATGAGTAATGTGGACAACATCATGCTAGCAACTTTTACTTTCAATGACATTTTCTAATATAGATTTGTGTTCTGTGACTAGAAGTGTGGTGAATTCCAGGGTCTCATTATGGGGTTGTTGGTTGGGGATGGGGGGGGGGGGGGGGGGATAGACCTATTGCCCCACCAGATACACATGTTGTAAGAGTGAAGAGTGCATCTGCTTCAGAGGTGAAGAACCAACAGTCTGCATTAAAAAAAACCACATTAGCACAGTCGATAAGGGGCTCGCTTTCAAATCCAGCTGCAACTCGCTGCAGCCCATGGTTGGTGTTCGAAACCGGGCGGTTCCCGGGGTTCACCCAGACTCTAGGAAATGGGTACCAGAGTTGACACTCTGGGGTAAATGGAGGAAAGTCACTGTAGCTACAGAGCTACGTGCGAACGGCGATACAGGCGGACAATTCTAATCAGCTGTCCGTACTGGTGGTAGAGCACTTATGGTTTATAACCGTGTGCAATGATGCTGGTTCACATCTCCCGACTTTAGCTTTACCTTTTTATTCAAATAAACCAGATTTTTAAATAAATGTGCACACAATACTGAACTTCTGGAGCAATAACAAAGTCTAGAAATATACAGACATTTCCCAAAGTTTAAAGTCAGTGAACAAACAAACAAATAAATAATACTATTAATAGTTGGCTACAGTGTTACCATACTTTTAGTCTTGGTAATACTTAGACACAAGATACAGTTTTGATTTAATATACGTTAAAAGATCAGTTCATGTTTTTCTTAACTGTTGCAGGTGTGGGTTCTGACAGGGGACAAGGAGGAGACAGCAGTCAACATCAGTCACTCTGCTGGTCACTTCAACAGTGACATGCAGGAGATACGACTCACCAGGGTCACTGGAGCAGAGCAGTGTGAGTTACAGATTCAGGAGCTCTTAATACAGTAAGTTATGATTTTTTATGTCTGGAGTGACATTATGAATGTCAGAGGGGAGGAGAGGAAGGTATCGGCTAAAATGTTATCACTACCAATGGAAATGCACCTTACTGTTAGAAACCTGCCTGTCTACCTGCTTGCCTTATAGATGGCAAGATGGCAGCGGTCATTGTTGTGTTTTCCAACCACTACTAACTATACATATGAGAATGGAATTTGTGTATTGTTTATAGTGTGTGGGATGCAAAAGCAACCAAGGAATTCAATTTTTTTCAAGGTTTTTACCGGTTCCTTGGAGTTTCGTGCATATGAGCTGAAACTATCTTGAAAATATATTCAACAGCATGTGGTGGACTAGACATATTTAAGAATATCAATCGCCACATGCTGGGGTAAATACTGAAGATGGGATCTGAGTGCTTATGGACTTGTCCAGTGTGCAATGAGGATAAACTTTCAATTAACTAACTAACTAACAATAGTCTGTATTCACTAACAGAAGCATGTATGTCTGTCTGTCTATCTGCTTGTCTTATAGTCTATATCCACTATCAGAAGCATGTATGTCTGCCTGTCTGTCTGCCTGTCTATCTGCTTGCCTTATAGTCTATATCCACTATCAGAAGCATGTATGTCTGCCTGTCTATCTGCTTGTCTTATAGTCTATATCTACTAACAGAAGCATGTATGTCTGCCTACCCTCACAGCAGGTTATTTGCAGAGTGTCAGTCTCATCACCGCACACCTGAAAGTCTCTCTCTCTTTCTCACCAGTTCTCAAGCCCTGTGTGCCTTCACAGTCAGTGTGTCTTCAATATCCTGTATCTGTCTTCACAGAGGTCTGCCTGTGTCTCATTTTTCTTAAAACTGTACCCTGCATCACTTTTCTATCTAGATCATGTTGTTTAACATAACAAAAACAGCTTAGCTCTCAGGACAGAATGCTGTTTATGAGCCAATTGTTCTCGATGCTCAGATCATGTAGTATCTGCCTACCAGTCTGCCTATACTTGTATGTTCTTTTCTGTCTATCTTTGTGCACTAGTGAAAGAATATCTGCCTAGGAGGAGTAAATCTTCAGGTTGTCCTGTATTTTGTTGCATTTTATGTATGCCTGTCTGATTCCATCATGGAGACATGCCTGTATGTATGTATGTATGTGTGTGTGTGTGTGTGTATATATATATATATATATATATATATATATATATATATATATATATATATATATATATATATATATATATATATATATATATATATATACATCTGCATATATGCCTGTCCACTTGTGGAAGAGTTTATAATTTATGTCTATTTAGCAGAAGAAACCCCAATCCTTATTTCTTGGAAATAAACTCTTGTTGGTACTGAAGTAACCACAGAGAAACAGAGAAAGGGGAAAGAAAGTTCTGCTTCTCTAGCTCTAATTATTATCCAATATTATTCCCCAGGACTGCTCTGGCTGAGCCACTTGTGATATTTGCATTAATCATTGATGGTCAGAGTTTGGTGTTTGCAATCAGGCAGCACACAGAGATGCTGCGAGAGTTGTGCTCCCGATGCGTAGCTGTACTGTGCTGCAGGATGTCTCCTATTCAGAAAGCTGAGGTAAGTGATTAGTTGGATAGTTGATCACCCTCACTGCACACCAGACCATTCAGTCCATATGTGCTCATATCTCCTCATCAGTACTTCCCTCTGTGTATAGTGGATAACAGCATTATTTCAGAGTTGAATTACTATTCTTCTTTAGCACTCTACTTTGTGTTCTTGTCAGTTGTCACCTCTTTTGGCATGCTGTTCTTAAGTCCCATTAGTCCAGTCAATCAAGAGGGTTTCATCTCCATAATGAAGGTTGGCTTCAGTGGATATCAAGTCCTGTTAATCTTTCATCATGGTTGTGTACTCTCAGATACTGTTTTCATCAGATTTCATACTGTTTTCGATTTTGTCTTTCCACTTATTTTACCACCTACCTCTTGTTTGCTTGCTTTTAGCTTTTCTGTATATTAAACACACAGACAGTGTACTGATTAGCACTCACAGAAAGAAGTAGCAAGATGGAAGGACACACCAGACAGTATCTATCTACTTCTTTCTTTGGGTGCCAATCAATACATTTCTGTTTGTTTATTATGTATGTTTCCCCAACCTCAAGGATTCCCCATCTGTTTATTTCTGTGTATTACATTTTAACTTTTCTATTCATTGTGGTTTCATTTATTTTAACTCCATGAGTCCCAAACTTTAACTCACTCTACTCAAGCGGTTGTTACTAAAAACAGATATATTGGGTCTAAACAAGTTCGAGAGTCGCTGTGCAGGAGCGGCTAGACACTCTCCTGCAGATCGAAAGGTTGTGGGTTTGCTCCTTGGCGGAGCCGGACTTTTTTTCAAAAATGACCTTGGCTCCCAGGTTTACCCAGCCTTTATTGGGTACTGGGTGCAGTCCTGGGAAGTAAAGGTGGCTGGCATGATGCTGACCACATCATCCATCTTGTGCCGATTCATCTGTAAAATATAGGTCTAGCCCTATATGCCCTATAAGCCTAATGGCATGGAAAAGTCCTTTTTTTTTTTTTTAACTAAACAAATTCCAATAAAAACCTTATTGGTCAGAAAAAGTTTTAAAAAAAACCAGTTGGAATAAATTTGTTTAATGCAAGAATTAGTTGGGGCACAAGGATTTAGGACAAACCTTTCATGGTGGAGCTAAGAACAAATGCATTGGGAGTTACTGGGTTTTAAATGAGTTATGGCCAGATGTATTTTTCAGTTTTGTTACGCTTAAAAGCTGTTGCTCTAAGATACACAAATTATAGCATAGGCAACTGATGAATTAAAAACTACCGTTCAGTGTGTTTGAAAATTATATTTTAAAGGTGAGACGATCAACATCAGTAATGATTCTCAGATTTCTCAGTTAAGAAAGTGTGAAAATCATTGTGCACATGTGTAATTTTGTTTATAAGTTGTGTTTAACTCTTTCAGGTGGTTGCCATGATCAAAAACTCAACAGGGAGGCCAGTTACAGCAGCCATTGGTGATGGAGCCAATGATGTCAGCATGATACAGGAAGCAGATGTTGGCTTAGGTAGACAATTTTATTTCCCAGCGCATGCTTTCTCAATGACTCAGTAAGTATGCTCAGGAAGATAGAGAAAGATTGAATCCTAAGACAGTGGTTGGAGTGTGCGTGTGAGAAGGATTATTTACATTTTCACTGTCATGGGCACCTATACTATATTAGGATAGCCGTCCTTGTGCAATACTTTTTTTACAAGGTTGGTTGAGCGAGATGTGCTTGTCTTATTCTGTAGTGTGCATAGTGTATAAAAAGTTAGTTGTGTGTCTTTTACAGGTCATCAGCGACTGGGATGCACACTGGCTGGCCGGTAGACAGCTTTGTCATCAGTAAGGAAAGTATTTGGCTCTGCCTCTCTTGATTGCATCAACACTGCAAGAGTACTTATCAGGGCTACTTAGTAGCAAGCAATGCTAAGCCATTGTAAATGGATCTCGTAAACCTAGTCACACTTATAATCAAAAGTTCCCCCCTTCAGAGCATGCTGGTTGAATGTGACAATGTTTTTTTTTTCTTTTCTGCAAAGCAAGTCAAGCCTTTACAGGTAGGTTCAGACCATTGTGCCCATACTAACAATTTTTGGTTTAACTTCAATCGTCCCAAGTGATGTTTTTTTGTTGTTGTTGTTATTTTAGTATCAACCCGATGGTCTGGACCTACCTACAAATTGATACTGTCCCAGTGAAAACGGGATGATATGGTCACCCTCTTTACAGGACATTGCAGAACCAACCTCAACATTTTTTTGTGTGGCTATTTGTGATTAGGTAATATTTTGTTCATTAATTTGTCGTTGCTTTCTAAACGGTCAGCCCTCAGTACCACTATTGAAACCAGTGCAGCTTGGATCAAACCCGGTACCCCAAAATCGCAAAGTGCACTTGCAATGCCTGAGTCACTGACACTGACAAATTGTGTTGTTGTTTGTTTTAGTATCCAGAAGCCATGAGTTTGTTAACCCTTAGGCTCGGTATTATGGATATCGCAACCTTTCGTAAATACCGTAAATCTGGGAGAAATGTGGCTTTTCTGCATACCCCCGGGAGTGAACCCAGACCACAAGGAGTTCGTCATCCGGTCACCACGCAATCCGATTTAGCCAACTACGCTAGAGAGCCGGGCGACAGATTGTGAAAGCGACTTTTTAATAAGAACAACAAATCTTTTAGTAAATAGATGCTTCAGGGTTATATGGTGAAAAGCACACATTACTAGGTGATAGAAATGCATCTCACCATGTAGGCCCCAGGGCGCTAATTTTTCAGAAAAAATAATTAATAAATAGACCTATGACCCCTATAAGCATCTTGTAGAAAACAACTAAAAAAGGGTGTGCTGAAATTAGATGTGGGGCTGAAAGGCACAGATATCACAGCCTTGCTGTAAACCACAACATGCCAACTGCTCTTTTAAGGACAGACACGGAAGAAGAAGACGGAGGAAGAAGAAAAAAGTAATTCATCGAGGCATTTAAGTGTTTTGTAGATAGTATTAATGCGGCTTTGTGGCTTAGAGATTAGTAAATGCATATAACAATTTCTTGATTCTTGAGTACCAGGGTTCTACGTCTGCAGTGGGCCGCTTAGTTTTTTAATTTTTTTTAATTTTAAATATACTTGTTCTTTCTCTTTCCACATCCTGTAATAACTTTATGAAGGTTAAAGTAAGGTAAAGGATGTTCTTTCTCTTTCCACATCCTGTAATAACTTTATGAAGGTTAAAGTAAAGTAAAGGATGTTCTTTCTCTTTCCACATCCTGTAATAACTTTATGAAGATTAAAGTAAGGTAAAGGATGTTCTTTCTCTTTCCACATCCTGTAATAACTGTATGAAGGTTAAAGTAATGTAAAGGATGTTCTTTCTTTTTCCACATCCTGTAATAACTTTTTGAAGGTTAAAGTAAAGTAAAGGATGTTCTTTCTCCTTCCACATCCTGTAATAACTTTATGAAGGTTAAAGTAAGGTAAATGATGTTCTTTCTCTTTCCACATCCTCTAAGGTCTCTGCTATGACTGAGCTTGGTAATGACTTTGCATTCTGTAAAACTGAAAGAGAATTACAGCCTTTCTCCATGATCATGGTGGACAATAAACATACCAGTTTGCACTCATTCTTTGGGAAGCATATGTGTAGCTTAGAACAAGAGTAAAAATAGTAAAAGGAAAAAAGTTGAATTATAAATTGTTTGTTGTACTTATATTTTTAATTACTTTTTGTTTTGTTTTGTTTATTGTGGAAAATATACAAGATTGATTTATGTTGCCATTTGTTTCTCCTGTATTTAATTGAAATACCTATTACCTGCATCCATTTAGAAAATGGTTAACTGTAACTAAAGACAGTGGTAATTGTTCTAATGATGGCATTTTAACTCTTTCACTATGAGAAGCTAAAATATCACTCTCCGCTGGACCAAGTTTACTGTAAATGTCACTTTTCATTCTTGGGAAGCATGTAGCAGAACAAGAGTAAAAAATGGTTTGGAGAAAAAAAAGGCTGATTTATAAAAAAGACCGATTCAAAGAATACACTGGATCTGGGGTTTTGGGGGGGTAACCCAGCCATTGACAGCTCTGGTCTGTAGTGACAGGTTTAGGAAACTCATTGTTACCTGCATCCATGTCTATTTTTGGTTTAAACTGTAACAAACATTGAGGAGGCCAATGGATATAATGATGGCATTTTAACTAACACTATGAGACTAACAATATCATGGTTTGGGAAAAGTCGGGGGTAAATGGGGGGGGGGTACTTGTCTGTAGCAGACCTGCCAATGGTTTGGAGAAAAAAAGGCTGATTTTAAAAAAGACCGATTCAAATACACTGGATCTGGGGGGTTGGGGGGGTAACCCAGCCATTGACAGCTCTGGTCTGTAGTGACAGGTTTAGGAAACTCATTGTTAATGCCGCTGTCTATTTTTGCCCATGTACAAACATTGAGGAGGCCAGGATATAAATACACTAACTAACAATAACTAACAATAGCATGGTTTGGGAAAGGTCGGGGGGGGGGGGGGGGGGGGTGTTGTTTTTTTTTGAGCTAAATGGCTTTTTTATTATAAGCCTCAGTAATAGAGGTCATGGGGTCACAATATGAGTCATCAACACATGCCTTTTGTGTGAGTGTGTGTGTGCGCGTGCATCTGTGCATGCGTGTGTGTCTGTGTGTGTGTGTGTGTGGGTAGGTGTGTGGATGGGTGGGGCCTCATTGGATGTATTCCATTTAATGATTCATGCTGTTAGTTTTATTGACAACTCCTTTCATATATCTTCATATATTAGGATGAACAAATATAAAATGTAGATGGACACATTTCTGATTAATTTATTAGTGAACTGTGTAAACTTGTTTTTGTTTTTTATAAACATAATGTTTGGGGAATTCTAACAAGTTATGACTTTTTTTTTTTTTCAAGTGTTCCTAAGGCAAAACGGTTCAACCAAAAAAAATATTTTTTATTTCAGTCCTTGTATGATCCTTTCTTCCTGGTTTTTTACAACCTCTCCTTCACTTCACTGCCCATACTTTCCTATGGGCTTTTTGAGCAGCATATACCAAAAGAGGAACTACTCAATAATCCACAACTTTACAGGTAAGCAGATACTTGTGTTGACCGATCTTAATTTGGAATAAACAATACTAACAACAACAGCAACTCCTAATAATCCTCTTCCAAGTGCCGAGGCAAAATGGATGTATAGTTAGTTAGGTGAATACTTTTTACATGACGCTGCAACCGATCCCAGCATTTGCTGGCTAGCTGTGGTTTCTTCTTCTTTCTTTTATCCTCTCACTGACACCAGACTTGTCCAGTGTCATGGTTTTTCTGTATTTGTCTTGCACTTATCCAGTGGTTTGGGTGATGGATTTGTTCATTTTTTTTAAACAGGTTACAGCTACATCATTTATTTATTTTTTTTCTTGGTCTTCCCCTCGCCTTCCTCCCAGATGTTCTGCTGTTAAAAGTCTCATATGCAGTTTGGTCTGGCTGCATTCTCACTAGATGGCTGAACCATTTTATTCTTTGTATGTCAATATAATCCAGACATGGTTTTATTTAAACTTTCGCTCAAATGATGGTAATTGTAACCCTGTTTCTTCTTGTATTGCTAGTGACCTTGCAGAGACAGTGCATTTCACATGTAGCTACTTTATATTGTAGTGCCCTATTCATTGTCCATGTTTGGCACTGACAGCATTAGTAGGGATGCTGTTTTGCTAGAAGGGAGACATTTGGATGTCTAAGCAGCAGGGCTAACTGGCATTTGCCTTCTGTACTCTAGCTTCTATCTCTCTTTTGCGTCTGCCATTCTCCGTAAATATGTTTCCTAGAAATTCAAATTCTCATACTTGTTTGATTGTAGTACCATTAACATGAATGGTTATAATATTATGCTTCTGCCTATTTTCATTACCTCAGTTTTCATTTGTGGTTTTACTGGATAAATTTATGTCCAGATCTTTGCAGTTGCTGATTGAACAGTCATAACACTGTTGAAATCATCATAAAAGCAATCTGCTGCAAAATGGCCTATTTTATGACACAGAAGCCTGGACAATAAACAAGACATTGTAAAGTTAGCTTCAGACCATGAAGATATTTAAAAAAAAAAAAAGTAAAAGACCCTTTTCCACGCCTTTAGGCTTATAGAGCATACAGGGCTAGACCTATATTTTTATAGACCAATCGGCACAAGATGGGTGATGTGGTCAGCATCATGCCGGCCATGTAGATATGAATATGCAAAATAGACTGTATTTCATGGAAAGTAAAAAACAAATAAAAAAACAATACAGAGGTTGTGAAGAGACTTGGAATGAAAAGAAAGTTACTAAAAAAAAGAAAAAAAAAAGAGATACAAGTTAAATATTTTGACCACATTAAAGACCTATCACTCTTATAAAACCCATATTGGAGACAACATTCAAAAGCAGGTGAGGAAGAGGTAGACATTGTTGCAAGTGGATCCATTGCAGCCGGTATTTCCTGTGGCAATGATAGCTAATTAACCAAATGACGATGAACAGTTAAAGAAATTTAATTAATTTACAACAATCATATCTACTACTGGCTATCAAAACATATATTGAATGTCTGTACTCACCAATTATTTTATTTTATTTAAATGTTTTGTTTCAGAAATATAAGTAAGAATTCTACAATGAGCTGGTCGGAGTTTTTTAAATGGAATATTTTAGGTGAGAAATGCCAATAATTATCTTGTCCTGCAATACATTAGTTTTTCACCTACATTTTGACAGAGTAAAAAGAAATGTTAATTTGTTATGCATATTTTGGAAGATTTTTATGTACACAATTTGTTATCCTCATTTTTGGAATGTTTTGTATAATTAATTTGTCATGTGCATTTTGAAGGCATTTTTTTGGGTTTAAATCAAATAATGTATGTGAAGTTTTGAAGTTTTATTTACTTACTAAATTTGTCTTTGTAAGCTTTTTAACTAATTTTTATTTTTTTGCAAGGTGTTAACCTACTTAACTAATTCAATACCAGGCAACTGACTGTATATCTGTTTATTTTCAACTGACAAATACTTTACTGAACTCACTGTGACCATACAATGAATACATAGACTTACTCTGCCAGTTTTCTTATTTTAACAGCTCCTCTCCTGCTGCTTTTATTTTAACCCTGAGATCCAAACATTTATTACTTAAAACATAAATGTTTTAAAATAGAAACAAAACAGTTAAAGTAAGATCTGCAGGTACTTAATAAGCTAATTTGTTGTCTGTATTTTGAAAGGTTTGTATATGTTTATCTTTTGAAAAGTGTTTCCATAAATATATTTACTGTTTGTAATTTCTACAACTGTGGTTTCCCCCCCCCCCCCCCTAGTTAATTTCTTTCTTTCTTTGTTTCTTTCTTTGTTTCTTTCTTTGTTTCTTTCTTTGTTTCTTTCTTTCTTTCTTTCTTTCTTTTTTTCTTTCTTTCTTTCTTTTTTTTCTCTTTCTTTTTCTTTCTTTCTTTTTCTTTCTTTATTCTTTCTCTTTCTTTTCTTTCTTTCTTTCTTCTTTCTTTCTTTCTTTTCTTTTTCTTTCTTTCTTTTTTTCTTTTTCTTTTTTCTTTCTTTTTTCTTTTCTTTCTTTCTTTCTTTCTTCTTTCTTTCTTTGTTCTTTCTTTTCTTCTTTCTTTCTTTCTTTCTTTCTTTCTTTCTTTCTTGTCTTTGTAATTAATATGTGTGTCATTTAATATTATGGCAGGTTTATGGCACTGCATTGTGTTCTTTTTTGGATTCTACTTTCTGCAGTGGACTGGGGTTTCTATTTTCCATTCCGGTGTGGTAAGCTGCATCTGTTTTGTTTCTTTGCCATGATGTTTGAACTACTGTAATTTCCTGAACATTATTATCATCAACATCACACTTTTTGTCTTAAACAATAACCCCTGTGTGGTAAACTGTTGTCAGTGTGAACCAGGCAACATGTGGTATGTTACTTTATCTCCTAGGTTGTCTGATCAAACTGAAAACATCTGATTAGATATTTTGCCACGTAAGATATATAACTAATCTTGGAAAAGATTGCACTTGTACACTTATCATCAGAAATGTTTGGCAGAACATGTGATAGAAGACTGGACAGACATGATGGCCACCACAATACAACATGGACTGCAGGGAAATTATTCATGGACATCTTCTGAAACTAAAGTAGTTAACCATATGACTATGAAAGCTTTGTGGCTGTGTCGTTACATTTCGATTAGAGGAAGAATTTTACTCATTCACCGCTCATGAAATAGAGAATTAATAGCTACTGCCACCTTAACAAGCATGTTGCAAGTGTCAGCTAATTAGGGATTTCCTTTCCAACATCAGCGTCAATTCTTCACCTCTCTGTCCAGTGAAACTTGTTTAGTTCTCTCCCAAAGCTCTACATTAGTTAAAAAAGTAAAAAAGTAAAGTCGGGAGATGTGAACCAGCGTTATTGCACATGGTTATAAACCATAAGTGCTCTGCCACCAGTACAGACAGCTGATAAGAATTGTCCGCCTATGTCGGCGTTCGCACGTAACTCTGTAGCTACAGCGACATTCCTCCATTTACCCCAGAGTATCAACTCTGGTACCCATTTCCTAGAGGCTGGGTGAACCCCGGGAGCCGCCCGGTTTCGAACACCGACCATGGGCTACATTTGTTATTCTGTCATACCATTTTACTCCCTGTGTTTTGAGCAGGAAACAAATTATGTTTTTAGTTTATTAGTAAATGCATTAGTTGTTCTCCATATTTCCGTTCCATACAACAGTACTGATTTGACATTAGAATTAAAAATATTAGGCTTAGTTTGAGTTTTAATTTTTTTTTACCTCCACAAATTCCCTAGTGCTATGAAAGCTCCTCTTTCTTTTTGTATATATATTTTAATATCTTTATCGGTTCCTTCATCTTCATCGACATTGCTGCCCAAATAGTTGTATAACTCCACATCTTGGAGTTGGATACCATTAAGAGAAACCACATTACTATTTGCCTGATTTATTCTCAATATCTTTGCTTTTCCTTTTTGGATTTTTAGACTAAACTGCTGTGATCTCGCATCAGTATATTTAATTTATCTTGCATCTCCTTCCGTGAGCTGAACAGAAAAGAAATATCATCAGCGAAGTTCAGATCATCAAACTGTTTTGTAGGGGTCCACTGAATTCCATTCCTTTTGTTAGCAGTTGCTGTCTTCATAATCCAGTCTATTGCTAGTAAAAGTTGGAGAGCGTCAAAAGACATGTTAGCTTCCCCTCATGAAGAACTTTTCATGTCTCTATATGTTGCCTTTACTAAGTTAATAATTTTCTGTGGGATTCCATAGTGCCCCATTAATTTGCAGAGGGATTCCCTATCAATGTTGTCAAATGCTTTTTTTTAGACTATGAATCCAAATAAAAGTGGTGAATTAAATTTAATGCTTCGCTCTATTATCATACATAATGTGGCTAACTGGTCAGTACAATATCTGTTTGGCCAAAAACCTGCCTCATAGCTTGTTATCAATAGCATCTTTTAGTCTTTCCAAAATAATTCTACTTAATATTTTTCCAGGCACTGACAGCAACATAATTCCTCTATAGTTCTCACACTCCTGTAGATCACCTTTTTTCCCTGGTGGGGTGGGTTGGGGGGTGGGGGTTGTCGTATGGCAGTTTTGTCGCGCACCTTACTTACGGAATATTTTCACAAATCCCTCAGGTGCTCTGAGACAGGGGTGTTTTGAATGGTGGCTCTCGTTCGTCTAGAGGCCTAACCCTCGGTTCAAACTTTCCATTCAACCTGTCTCAGGAATGAGGTGACTCGAGCTCTGACTCCACAGGGTTACTATGAACTCTTGGGTACCTCTCGGTCAGACGTCCCCATTACTAATTTGCCCCCAGACTGGTAAACAATGTAACACAGTCAAATATGTAGACAACAGTGAAAATGACAAGACGTGAATACCTTTCTGACTACAACAATTAATTCACCAACAGTAAACCTTTCGAAGAACAGAAAGTCTTGTGAACTAAAATTTCTATGTATTCAATGCTTCATAACAAGAAAGATCACAAATAGCACGAAGAACTAGATAGTTAGTTAGTTAGTTAGTTAGTTAGTTGGGTTATCCTCATTGCACTCCGGACATGTCCATAGGTGCTCAGATCCTCCCCTCAGTATGAACCCCAACGTCCGATGGCTAATAGTACCAGTTCTATGTTGATTAACAAGTCTTCTGGCGTAGCTGGTGTGCGTCTCGTTTTTTGCTGTGCCGATCTTAATTCCCAAGTCTGCCATTCTGGCGAGTGATGTGGATTCACTGCCACCAAAGTCCTCTATTCTTCCCATTTCTCTGAGGGCATTGATAATATCAGCATGATCCATAGGCTGACCGTCGGTAGTGAGTGCGGATCCAGCCAACCTGTCAGCTCTTTCATTTCCATCGACGCCTGCGTGTCCCGGAACAAAAATAAAGGTGACTCCACGAACAGTGGACTTCTGTAATGATTCAAGCCATTGTCTTCGCACTGAACCTGCCTGAACCCTCCGGATCATACTCATTGAATCACTGAGTATACACACGCGGGTGTATTTTTGTGTTTCAAGCCAGGCAAGCGCTTGTGTCACTGCCATCACCTCCATCGTCACGCTGCTGGTTGTCATGGAGAAGGCGCCGTTGGCTTCTTTGACTGTTCTGCCCGCTGAGCGTGCTGTAAATGCCCATGCGCTTCTTCTTTGGCGTATAACGGATCCGTCTGTATAGATTATTGCATCTGCTTCGTCTGAATTTTCACCGATGAGAGCGTTGACCTCTGCATTAACAGCAACAGGATTCTCTTCTCTACGAAGAACTAGAATGATTGTTCAATTCTCTGAAGAGTAAAGAATAGGGAAAAAGTCTTTCTACAAAGCTACATCTCTTTCCGGAATCATCATTGCTGGGAGGTAGGAGACAGATTATGAAGGCACATCTGGAATCAAGCCACTATAGGATGCTACTTCGACTTATCTGGTTGGATCCTGCAGCTCCTCAGGGTGCCAGAAGGTAATACTGCAACGTCCCACTTCTCAGAAGATCTCCGCACAATGGCTAGTATGTCTGGAATTGATTATAGCACAATCAACTCCCCAGAAGTTGGTAGATGTAGACTTAGTACACAGTCCACGTATTCAGTAATGGTTGAACAACGCACGTCAGTTGCTTCCTTGGTGTTGGCTGGTGGAACAGTATAACTACGCCATGGACGCTTGTTAGATGGTGGACGAGTACGATTACGCCTCGAACACTTGTTGGATCTTCAAAATTCCTGAAAAACACAAGGCAACACACATGAGCGAACCGTACCCAACGCACCTAGTTAATCAATATCCTTACCACCTCCACATGCTCAGATATAATTGAGGCTAGTCCAAACCATGAAGGTTGACTTCCTACATCTCGGAATCTGTGCAGTTTCCCAGAGTGAGCACCAGAGTCGTACGTACGTTTCCATTAACTCGAATAATTTCTAGATTCAGTCCTGTAGCGAAAGCCAGACAGATCTCTATCATTCCCCATCCCTCTAAATATACCCTTTTCACTAGTTGGAAAGATAAGGTATAGGAGATGAAGACAAAACCAAGATCAAAGGGAATATGCTCCGAAAGCATTACGACAGTCTAAGCTTGTTGTGGTTACGATAGCTCCTAGCAACAGCGGATATGACGTCATGCCTGACCCGAAGCTTCTTGTCCTTCCAACCGGTCCAGCGACTCACCAAGTTCAGAGACCGAATAAAAGATAACAACTAATCATACAAAGTTAACAATACCATAAATACACTCTAGATATGTGGATTGATTGATCCGAAGAGGTTTAGAAAGCCGGCTCGAAGAATCCACAGAGAATTTTCAGCCGAAAGTGCATTCCAACCAGGATCGCATCTGTCGTCCTTCCTCGCAGGCGATCGTGGAGAAACAGATTCGCATTATCAATCTGCTGACCTTACTTACCGACACATACAGACACTGGGCACAAATATTCAATTAAAACCTTTTAGGAAAACTCACCCATGATAATTGGATAAAGAGAATAAAGAAGCTTGTCATTTTAACGGTCAAGTGGCTACAAAGTGTAATACGTTTGCTCACTTGAACGGACCATAGAGAAGTGACGTATAAAACTACAGTCCCTATCTACGGCAGTTGGTGTAAGAATATGGCTCAAGTATACGGTGAAGCGGTCAGACAATTTATTTTAAATAGGCGTAGAAAATGTGTCCTACCGTGTAAATTGACACTAAAAGCCTAAAAGAATCAATCTAAAAGAGTGATTTATATGGATTTCTCCTATCTGGACTCCCCCACAACAAACGAACTATATAACTACGGTCGGCCCATCCGATATCATAGTTACAATGACGCTTTTGGGGGTGTTCAGACTGTGGGCCTGTTCATTGAGGTAGGTGTGTGCATTCTGTCATATGACAGGGGTGTGTTGGGGGGGGGAAGGGGGGGGGCGGGGGGGGGGGAGTGGGGGGCAGTTTCACAAGATATTCTTCTCTCCAGTCTGCTGGTATTTCTTTGGTCTCCCAGACTTTACTAACTATTCTATGTCGCAATTCTGTTGATCTGTTTATATTGGCCTTAACAGGCCTCTATGAAACTGTGGTCTGATTCATGGGTTAGTTCTTTGATAATCTCTCCAAACAAACTAGGTCACGTTCCATTCATACATTTTTTAGACTGGTCTGCTGTCCCTATTTTGTTTCTTTTCCCGCTTTTACGTTTTTCTTCTGAGCAAGAGAATGTCTGTGACATGGGTTGCAGCACTCTCTAGGGGAGTTGTGTGTTAGACCCAGTTTCTAAATGTTTTTGTAGTGTTAAAAGCGCTGGCATGCTTAAATATACGACACACGATATCAACCCCATTGCCGTAGCAGTGTGCGAAGGTCGGGTGACTGAAGGTCAACCAATCAGAAGTGAGCTAGTGTGTATATGGGTGGTCCATGGGGAGACTTTCATGGAACTAACCAATTCATGTCTTCCACTGTTCCATACAGCTGTGTTTCCTTTGGAATGCCAACCAGATAAACCTGGGATCTCTCTGCTACATGAAGAGAGCACTATTTATTTTTAAGTTTAAAAGTTATGATTTGCTTCTTTAGTATTTTCTACTATCACTCTTCTTCTATTATTCTGGGTGCAAACTACACAAAGACCTTGCTGTGGTACATTTTAGGGTAAATTTGCCATACAAGAAAAACAACTTTAAAAAACAAACAAATCACATCTACCCATTTGCTATTCAGGATCTGTAGGGGTACTGCAGCAGAAGTGTCAGCACCGATTATTTGGCTAACCCAATTGAACTTGAACAATTTTCCTTGGCTACGTCCTTCTCCTCTCCAAGTTAAATGAATCTGTAAAATTATCATTGTATATTTATTGTATAAGATCCTTCTTTGATAAAGAAAACTCGCAAAACAATTTATGTAAATTATGTACATTATTGAAGATTATTTACCACAAGAAGTTGGAAGTAGATTATTAGAACTTATTTACCATATATCTAAATATAAATAGGAAGTAGAGTACTGCAGATTTATAAAACAATGTACATTATAGATGGGTAGATTATATGGATTTTAGATATATTATTTACAATATGTAAGTAGGTGGTGAATTATTGGAGATTATTTGCCATAAGTGTAACTATGAAATATTTTGTTGCAGATTGTTTATTCAGGATGTGTAAGACTGCTTATAAAATTTGTGTTTTGTTTTCAGGGAATTGGTAATTTTGACTTTGGCACACTTATCCTTGTTACTTGTGCTACCAGTGTCAATATGAAGGTAAGAATTGTAAGAGTATAAACAAGGCAGAATTGTCTACATTTAAGCCATAATTTATTGTGCAAATATCAAAGGTTATGTTTTAAACTGCATTATAAATTAAATATATTTAAATTAAAGTAGTGTTTATTATGGTTCTTGGACTGCATTTTTATTTTGTTATACTCAACAATTAGAATGTTAGTTACAGTTTAAGCCTGCATTATAACTAGATTTGTTTAATTAGCGAGAATGATGGACCATATTTTTGTGTAGCCTAATTACTGTTGCACTTTCTAGGCTCCCATGTTGACACAACTTAAACTGAATAATGAGTTAACTAAAGTCGTACCCATGTGAGGTGCAAATATTTGTTTGAAGCCTCACCCTAGCGACTGCCGGGGGCCCGGAATATAGCTGAGGCCTAGCCAAAGATTTGGCCTAACGGCTGAAAGGGTTTTCTGGGACCTCTCCAGGGGTGATCCTCATCCGCTTGGTGGTACTTTGTGTCACCGGGTGTTTATCGCTTGTGTGATGTCCTGGTGGGGTACAACTACCTACCTACCTACCTAAACTGGATTTTTAAAAAAAATTGTATTTGGAAGTAAAGGCGGCTGGAAAAATATTCACGTCACATATCAGAAGCCAGTTGGTCTATACAATTTTTAGACTAGCATCATATGCCTCGCACACCAGAGCATTCTGACATAGAGGGCAGACACTATGAGCAGTACCATCCTGGAAGATGGTCCTAAAATTGTCTGAAGGTATGTGATCGTAGCTATGTGGGAGACAGTACACATTGAGGACCTTGAGCATGAGGTTGCTGGTTTTTGTCTGACTCCATTGTGAAGTCTGGGTGTGTCCATCAAAGTGGCTCAGCACTAAAACCACTGAGGAGCCTATAGTCACCATGTCAACCAGTGTTATTTTTTTTAGCACTCACTCTTAACTCTTTAAGTCCCAGGGGGTTTAGCATCACCGACCCAGGGGGTAGTAATGAAAGTAATAAAATCGGCGCATCATGCGTTCATTGGGCTTCTAGGTATAAACCTATGAACGTATGATGTGTTCGTTGGGACTCAAAGAGTTTATATACGATTGACATGTTGTGTTGTGGTTTACAACTAGGCTGCAATTTATGTACCTTTCAGCCAGTAATTTCAACAAATCCTTAATTGATCACCAATTATGACATGTTTGTCAGATGTCACTAAGTCTGTTTTCCCTCTCCCCTCCCCACCCCCCATAAATGGGTCCAAGAACCCACATGGGGAAGCATCAGTCAATAAAGGATTGCAGTCATCAGCATAAACAAACAACAAAACATGCTTAGGAGATGATCTACATACTTACTGATATCTCTGCTGTGCCAAGAAGATCATCCTGTAGTTTTCTTACCCTTTTCCACCATTCCAGATGATAGGGTTATATTATGCTAAAGGAAGATGCAAGAGTCACAGCACATGAAGACTGTGAGTGTGACAATTTAAGGCTGCGGATACAGACCAGAGAGTGACGGCATAAACAAATTCAACAGGAAAGAACAAACATCAATTTTTAGACTTCGGACAGGACACTGTGATCTTCGAGCACACCTGCACAAGATAGACATAAAATAATCTGCTGCCTGTGATTGTGGAGAGGAAAGACAGACCCTTGAGCACATACTGCAGTACTGCCCAAACTTCTCCTAGCAAAGACTGTGGATCTGGCCCAAGGGAGATACATTGCAAGAGAATCTATGGGGAACCGGTGACGACCTTAAACGCACAATCCCATTTGTGACCCAGACAGGAGTCAATGTTTAGCATGACTGATGTTGAACGCAGAAGAAGAACAAGGCTGTGGATGAGGTCTCCCCCTCTCTACAGTACAAAGCCTGGGTAGTATAATAGAGACGTTCTGTTGCTCATGCAGCATAATCCGTCTCTCAGCCTGCTTTGTTATTCTGAGGAAAAGGTGATAGCAATATATCTGGAATAAAGCAACCTACAGAAGCTGCCAGATCAGAAGAGCACTCTTCTGTCCACCTGTTGAAGCTTACCTCCTGATGCCCTGCTAGAACATTAGGTTTTCAGTTTCAGGTTGCATTTACTTTTCCTTGAATAAGTCTAGTATCCTGTATCATCCTTAATACAATGTTCTGCTCAAAGCTATTGGTAGAACAAGGAATGTTAGGTTTGGTAAATACCACCCAACATTTGGCATTAACTCTTTGAGTCCCAGGGGGTTTAGCATCACAGGCCCAAGGAGGGTTAAGAGAGACATAAAATCGGCACATCATGCTTTCATGGGGCCTCTAGGTAGGAATCTAGGAACGTATGATGCGTTCCTTGGGACTCAAAGAGTTAATAGAGAAGAGGTACCTGGGAAGGCTAACCCGGTCAACAAATGCCTGCAGAAGTTGGATGTATTGGCCGAAAGGTGAAAATATTGCAGCCATGGTGTAAACGGACACAATGCAGTTACATCTTAGGATGAACACAGAAGAAGAAGAAGAGAAGAGGTACCACTGACTGCTGTTGGACAGTAGCTCAGTCACAGCTGACCAAAACTTGATACTAAAATAATCCTGTAATAAACAATGAAACCCTTTAGGAATGAAAATGAGTTCTTGACTTTTCTTAATTTAACTTTTCCCAGCTGATGTTGGAAACCTACTACTGGTGTTTACCTACAGTCATTGCATACACAATTACCTTTGTTGGCATGGTTTTCCTAGCTGCTGTCTACACCAATGTCTTCTTTCCGTAAGTGTTAGTTACCAAACTTTGTTATATATTAGTATACTGTCAGTCTGACTTCTGGACAATATGGCAGATAGGTGGGTTTACTTTTTTTTAAGTGGTTGCAAGTGCTTGCTGATGACATTAGTTAACCATCGCATTTTCTACCATATAGAGACTGAAAATATATAGTTTTGTCACCCAGATACTGAACTGAATGCATGGTATGATGCTATGAGCTGTAGGTTTTCTTTGGATTGTTCTTCATCTGTGTCCAACATGGCTAATGTTATGAACTGCAGGTTCAGAGAATTGCAAGTGTCCAATTGCTAGAGATAACTGGTGGTGCCTTGTGTGATTAATTGCATGTGCAACTATTGATCTGTTGTAACTTCTGCTTCCATTGACAATGAACTGCATTTCTAGTTTTAGAATATTTGAGTTGGCACTTCTGGCGGGTGTCTTATGCATTTAATGCATATATATATATATATATATACAATTGGCTTTGCTGATACTGCAGTATATTTCAATTTTGCACACACACATCAGAGAGAGAGAGAGAGGGAGAGAGAGAGAGAGAGAGAGAGAGAGAGAGAGAGAGAGAGAGAGAGGGGGGGGGGGGGGAGAGAGAGAGAGAGAGAGAGAGAGAGAGAGAGAGAGGGGAGAGAGAGAGAGAGAGAATGACAGAGAAATAGTGGGGATGGAGAAGAAACAGAGACACAGCGAGAAAGAGGGCTACAGACAGTGAACAAGACAAATGGGAAAGAAAGAGTGCAAGGGCCCAACAGAGACATGCCATTCATTATTAGCCACTGTCATCTTGCTGCTTGTTTGTGCTGCTGCTGCAAGCTTTTTGAACAGTTTCATGTGACTATCATACTTTTATGAATGTAATGATGAGAAGGACTCGACCTAGGATTCACCTTGAGTTTTAAACACTTTTCCTGTAGTATTTTCATTCCGCTTAGATCAGTGACCACTTTTTCTTAATATTTTTATTTATTTCTTTTAATTTTTATTTATCTATTTTAATATCTGGTATTTTTATTGCTGTTTGCTTTGGTTCTGATTTGGATTTTTGTTTGTTTAGGATGTGTGTTTGTGTGTGCGTATATGTGTGCGTGTGCATGCGTGCGTGTGTTCATGCGTGCGGGTGGGTGGGTGTGGGGGTTGGGGTATTTGGTTTGGAACATCATCCCCCCCCCCCCCCCCCCCCTGTAAATTTGATGATTGATGTTGATACAACTTCTAATGAACAGAAAAGTGTATAAGGGGAAAGAAACCTGGATGTAGAAATTTGAAAGTTTATATTCTAACAATAGAAATAATAGAGAAAAACTGTGTATCATCTAATAGTAGCTATTTATGTTTCATTTCACAATTACAATCTTTGTGTAATAAGTTTTTATTTGAAATGTTCAGTTTAATTTTTGAAATTTTGTTTACTAGTCTTAAAAAAATTAATTTGCTAGATATTTGGACCCATCAAAGATGGAAACAGCGGGAAATGGAGAGTGAGAAGCAATAATGAAATTCCTAATCTGTTTATATCACCATTGATACTTGGCATCATGAAAGCTAATAGACTGAAATGATTGGGGCATATTAAGAGAATATCAGATGACAGAGAAGTGAGAACTGTATACACAAGTGACATGAATGGTCATAGACCACGAGGCAGACCAAGAAGATGATGGAGAGATAATGTCCAGACAGACCTGCAAACACTTGGTGTCACCAACTGGAAAGAGAGGGCCAGCCAAAGAGATGAATGGAGGCAGTTGATATCTGCAGCAATGAACCTCAAGGGCTCGGAATGCAGAAGAAGAAGAAGAAGAAGAAGAAGAGATATTTTTTCTGCATGATTTAATAGACAGTTACTTTCTATAGAATGTCATGCAGCAGAAAACAACTGTAGATTAATGGGGGATTTGGGAGGTATGGTTCTGTATTTAGTAATTGATGTTTTACACTTTTGTAAAGTTTCACTAGTTTCTATCTGCACCAGTGTCTTCTTTCTGTAAGTATTAGTTCTTGGACTGGCAGATTTTAGTAAACTGTAAGCCATGTCAAGCTGCCTCTGAGACACATTAAAGCTGCATTTTAGCACTGTAAAATGTTCATTTAATACTTCTTAAAACTAATCAAGAAATCCTATTAATATTTTTCACTCAAGGTCATTTCTGGTAAGCCATAATGACATGTTCAAAGTCTTCAATCAAATCTATGCAACGCCAACAACATGGCTGACAATGGTGCTATTAATATCAGCCGCATTACTTCCAGACTTTGTGATTCGAGTCTGCAGGGATACATACAATCACAGATTTCAGCCCTCTCCTTGCTGTCAGCCTGGTCCTGTTGGAATGGTAAATTATAATCATTCATTCTATTGGTACTTAAGAGCACATTTTGGAAAATAAAAACTGTTTACTATCTATAGTCATAACAACCATATAGTCTAGTAGTCTATAGTCATAAAAATCATATAGTCTAGTAGTCTATAGTCATATATGTCATAACCACTAGTTTCAACATTAACAGCATTACAAGTCTATGGCTAAGCACCAGCAAAGAAATCAAAATTAGAATTTTGAGACCATGCATCTTCACTGTAGCAACATACGGATTTAAGTCATGGACTATCTCCCAGTCCTTCAGAAAGAAAATACAGTCTTTTTAGCTGAAATGCTAGACATTGTGAGTGCCCTCTGGGAGCGAGTGAACAGTGCAGAAGAAGCGCAAATAGATCATTACTTTCTGAGGGGAATGGCTCTGCAAGGAGTTACCAGGGGATTTGGCTGACTATTAAACACTCAAAGGAAGGGCAAGACGGATATGCAATCAGACAGTTACTGGTGCCATCGGAATTGAAACTCTTCGTTTGCTGCTGAAGATGGGGATGGAGGGATTATGGAGGTGTCCCGAGTGCTATGATGTTGTTTCTTAATTCAACATTCAGCTGAAATGCTATAGAAAGATTTTCAGAATACCATGGACAAAGAAGAGAAGAAATATTGACGTTTTAAAAGATCTGAACATCAAGAAAGATTGGCTGATAAACAGCATCTTGTCTCAGAAGCTGAAATCTTTGGGTCATATCAGCGCCATGGCTGAGTGTAAAAAATAATAATAGAAGGCATGGTATCAGGAAGGAAGATTCAGGGGCTGACCAACACAAAGATGGGTACAGGATATATGTGACTCCCTGAATATGAAAGTACACGAGGCGGGAGAACTGGCAAAAGAACAAGTTTCTTTCTGGCAGACCGCGATGAGAGTGATGTTCTGCAAAGGACCTGCTATATGATGATGATGATGATGACTAGTAACAGTTATAAGACAGACAAGATAGCATAACATAAGACACATTCTGAGAAGAATCCACCAAAAAGGCATTAAAATGAGAAATAAAGGGATTAAAGAGGCAGGGACGCCCAAAAGACACCCTATGATGAACGTTGATGAGAGAGGCCAAAGCTACTGGACTGGATTCAATCCATGATATTAAACTGATTGCACAGGTTGGAACAGAATGGAGGAGTAAACAGTGAGCTCGATGTGACATATAATGGCACAAAAGGAGAATGAGTGAATAAATGAATGAATGAATAAATGAATGAATGAATGAATGAATGAATGAATGAATGAATGAATGAATGAATGAATGAATGAATGAATGAATGAATGAATGAATGAATGAATGAATGAATAGAACAGAATGCATTACTGAAAATGAACAAATAAATTATTTATCTCCTACAGTGTAGTGTGTATTTAGACACTGTAGATGTAGTACACTTAGCCTTTAAAGGGAGTAATCAATAAACATGTTATATATGTTTGTATAACTTACATTTAGTCTGGGCGTACAAAAGCTCCCCAACAACCACTCATCTCCTATAGTGTATTGTGTAATTAGCCTCTTTAAATGTAATACCCTAGCTAGCCTGTTAAGGGAGTAATCAGTAAACATGAACTGAGTGAAGAAATAAATTATTAATAATTCCCCAGGCCCTTAAAAATGCCCTTGACCTTGTCACAATTCTAACACTAAGGAGGGGGCTGCTTGGACTTGAGGCATGGTGTCCACCTCAAGTGCTAGAGGTTCCGAGTTCAATCCCCGATAAGGGCTGGGATTTTTTCACGGGGACTTAAACTTCTTGTAATTTCCCCTGGTCTCAGGGTAGTGAGATGGGATGCCCGTGTGCATTGTTGCGCATGTAAAAAATCCCTTGGCAGTTGGAAATAAAAAAGAGTAGCCTAACGGCAAAGCCCGGGCAAAATTTGGAGTTAAAAATCTACCCAAAGTATTTCAGGATCCTTGCCGGTGCTACAGAGCCTGTGCACTGTGCTGAACTTCTTCATACTATTTTCCACAAGAAACCCTCATAAATGCTTTTCCTAGCAAATATATTCATATCCGGCTCTCAAACCGATCGTGCAGGTGCAAATGGAACCAACGCTATTAACTAGGCTTTTTGGGGACAGGTTTAGCAGAAATGCTGGGTAAGTGGCATCTGCAGTAATGAGTCACAGACAGAAATGCCATGTTTGTGGCTTCTCAAGGTGACAGGGTTCAACTGTGTCACCATAAGATTACTATATTCATACTTCAGTTATCAGACAATTGTCTGGGAGTGACAATTAGTGAGGAAGAAATTGGACACCTTACTTTGCATGTCATAGCCTAGAATATGTGAAGCCCCAATACTTCATCCCACAGCTGTTTTTATAGGTCTCTACCTTGCTTGACCAAGCATTATTTATGTTTACAGCATCTTTCAATTAAGGAAACACTACCTCTGAGGTCTGATGATATATTTTGTGGTCCATATTTTGATATTTGCACATGAATTATATTTGACACATTGTTTTGTAAACATTTCATATTGTTTTTTAATTTTGTTGTTTCACTAATTTTTGGTGGGAGCAGCTGTGGTATAGTGGCTAGACGCTCGCCTGCAGATTGGAAGGTCATGGGTTCATGTCCTGACGGTGTCTTGGCTCCCAGGTCGATCCAGCCTTGAATGCGTATGACGTGCAGTCCTAGGAAGTAAAGGAGGCTGGATTGATGCTGACCACATCACCCTCCAAGTGCCGATTGGTCTATAAAATATAGGTCTAGCCCTGTATGCCCAAAACACCTAAAGGCGTGGAAAAAAGTCCTTAACTTATCTTTAGTAAATACTTCAATTTCTTTAGGTGCTGTTATGGGGGTGGGTAGTTTTTTGAGCAATAATGTATGCTTTGTCATTATTAATGAAATTGTTGAAAATTATAGTAGAAGTACAATAAAAGACAGGCTTTGAATTATGAGAAAACAGAAATAATGGTTATTTAGTAACCTGCCAAGTTTTCCATGTCGGAAAGTAATAATGTCTCAATATATTACTATAAAAGGAAATAGGTTTAAATAAGTTAAAACATTTAAATATTTAGAAAAGAATTGTAAAATCAGATGGCAAATACTCAACAGAAACTAACTGCACAATAGATTACTAAAAGGTGCATTTTATGATAAATATTGTTTTGTAAGTCACTTTCACTGAATGTCAGAAAGAGAGTATTAAAAACAGTACTAAAGTGTTTTGTCAGTTTCTGCTGTATAGCATAGCACCTTCAGCTCCCCCCCCCCCCCCCTTTTCCCACCCCCATTAACAACAAAAAAATTTGGGGGGAAAGAGCATTTGTCAGGTATAAAGGACAAATTATAGTAGACAAACAGAGGATGTTGTGGCTAGAAGGCAGTGAATCTTGAAATAGGAGTACACACATTAGGATGTGCTTGGATGAAACAGAGGTGAGGCTTCTGCAACAAATGTTGTGAATATGTTACCCAGCCAGTTAAAAAAGTTAGTTGCGTAACCTTTACAGGATGTCGCAGAACCAACTCCAGCATTTTTTGGCTGTTATGGTTTTTATAGGCACATTAGTTTGCCATTGCTTTCTGAACTATCATCTCTTGATACCACTGTTGAAACCAGTGCAAGACAAATTGTCCGCAGCTGGGATTGAACCCTAACCTGCCAGAGTAACTAAATATTTGTTTGGAAGAGGCTATCGAGGCAAACATAACTCCACATGAGGGTGCTGGGCGTTTGGATAGATCCACTGCCTTTTAACAAGCATAAATGATGACTAATTCAAGTTTTGCTAAAATCTTTTGTGTTGGGTCCAAAAGGCACAGATATCACAGCCCAGCTGCACAATACAATGTGCCAACCACTCTTTTGAGGGGGGATGCAGAAGAAACAACAAGAAAGATACAAACAGTATCAGAAAATATTGTAGCTACTGGAAAGATCAGGGACAGAAGAGGCAGAGACAGAGAGAAATCAGGCTAGATGTTTGCAGAATGTGGCATAGAAAATCTCATCTCTGTAATTATTGAATGAATGAGATCTTTAGTTAGACATGAAAGCTTGTGCCCTTTAGCAAGGCCCATAATGATGATTCCACAGTTTTTATTGACTCTAGAAATAAAATCCTTAAATTACTTGATTAGAAGTGAATTAAGTCACCCCCATATGGGATGCAATTTTTTAAAATTTAAGCCCCATCCTGGTTTCTGCCGGAAACCCTGAATATAGCCGGGCCATAAATATTCCCAGCTATAGATATGGCCATAACAGCTGAAAGGGGTTTCTGAGACCTTTAATTGGGTGAACCTCATCCGCATGGTGGCACTTTGTGTCACCAGGTGTTTATCGCTTGTGTGATGTCCTGGTGGGGTACAACTACCTACCTAAAAGTGAATCAAGAGCACTGAATACAAAAATAATAGAAAGAAACTGGATTAGTGAAAAGTTAAAAAGGGACAGCATTAGATGGGATGAGAACACTGTTTGAAAGAAAGGCATGGCACAAATTAGCTGAAGGCCGATGCTCCATTGGAGATAAAGGGCAGCTCAAGAAGAAGACAACATTCTTTATGTAGAAACCACTGACATAGTTTACTGCCACAGTCAGTGAATTTACCAACGCCACTATACCCAGAAATAGTGATGTTGAGATTTATCAGAAATGTAATGTTTACAATTTTAGCATCTTATCCACCAATACTGTTCTGTGGCCTCAATCAGCCAGGGGCCATCTCCACAACTAAAGATTGGTTGCAGTGGACACCCAACACTTCCTGTCTCTCTGACTGGCTATCTACCTATACTATTTGCTTATACGCCTTAAACTTTTCCATCCAGTATGGTTCTTTTAACTCTTTGAGTCCCAGAGGGTTTAGCATCACAAGCCCAAGGGGTAGTAAGTAAAGTAAAGTAAAGTTCCCTTTTCACGCCTTTCGGCGCATCGGGCATATGGGCAGAGCGTCCCATATTTTTACAGACCATCAGCACTCTGTGGGTAATGTGGTCAGCATTACGCCGGCTGTCTTTACTTTCCCAGGACAGCCCATCCTGGTACCCATTTTAGGCTGGGTCGACCTGCGACGCCCCATACCAAAGGGGTAGTAAAGATAGATATAAAATCAGTGCATCATGCGTTAATTGGGCTTCTAAGTAGAAACTTATGAACCTATGATGCTTTCCTTGAGACTGAAAGAGTTAACAATGGTTTGACTTTCATTATGGCCAAAACACTTTCAGTTGTTTTTTATTTTATATTTATTTTTTTATTTATCAGCTTTGCATTCATACTGAGGCCCTAAAATTTATGTATTTGATTGGTTTTGTTTTCATGAAATGCCACATATTCTTACCAATATCCACATTTCCAGAACCTCAGTTTGACTTTCCCCATTTTGTTCACTGTTGAGATTTGTGTAACCTGAAGAGATATTTATTGCTTTTTTTTTTGTCTTAAAACTATCAAGCATTGTTTATTTTTTTAAATATATCTTTGTATATATTTTTTTAATAACTGCACAAAGTAAATTTAAAAACCTTTCATTTTTGGACACATATATTCTAGTTGTGCTTTATTATTATGGCATTTGTATTACATATTTTGTGATCTTTTATGTATTTTGTATAAATGAAGCATGCTAAAAGAAAAATCTGTAAATGTTTTTGACAGACAGTTTAACAGACCGGACATTTTTTTCTAATTATGCAATTAAAACACAGAAAAATTGTAAACAAAAATAATTTAAATACACACATTATAAACATCTGTGCCTGATAGTTTTTAAAAATCAGATTAGAAAAACTGTTAAACAAAAATTATTTAGGAATTAATTTTGATTTTTACAGATGAAACGTAAACTAAATTCTAAAAAAAAAAGCATAATAATAAGTCTTTAAAATAAACCCATTTTGAGTTGTCACCAGCCCTGGCATCTGCCATGGCGTTACCATTAATTTCTTAAGAGGGTTTGATGGATATGTCCATCTTGCTTTTTGTCCAACTGTTTATGAAGCTCAAGGCAGCAACAAAAAGCAGTCTCCTTTATACAGATACAGATCATAATGATAATCAGAATAAACTAAAATGTCTTCTTTTTCTTTCTACTCACTGATTGTTAACTCTGGCGGAAAGTTCTGGGCGTTCTTCCACCTTCAGATGTTACTCTTGTTCCAGCATCTGAGTATTGTGTGCACATCCGTTTTACATATCTTTCTTACTTGAAAGCAAACTCTTGGTTACTTGCTTCTCAGACTGATGTATTCTGACTTTGAAGGGTGCCCCCAGTTAGTTGCCTCCTTCAGCATGCTTGTTAGGGAGGCAGTGGGTCTATTCTTGTTTCCCCCACAATGGATCCCTGCAACCCACATGGGGGGGGGGGGGGGAATACCAGGAAACAAAAGTTGTAAGTAATGAATGGCCATGATCACTTCTGCTAAGAATAATTATTAATATCTGACCCTGTCCCCAGTCCTTTAAATTAAAAAAAAAAAATATTTATTGCCAAGTATGTTTGATATGTTCTTTATGTGCTGTCCAAATTGTTTTTCTCGCAGACTGATGAGGAAGTTGCAATATTGCCAGGTTCCAGTAGGCAAAATCCTTCGCCAGATGACAGGGAAGTGAGGTCATCATACGAGACACTGAAGGTTTAATATTGTTTCTTTATTTTGCTTTTATATTGTTGCTTTATGAATATTTGTCATAGCTACATATACAAGTATATGTAAAGATGATAATGACCTATTCAATAAATACAGCGCACTGTGAGTTTTCAAACTCTCATCTTCATGCTAACATTAGAAATTAACATAAAATCTTAAATATAGCAGAAAAAAGGCATATTCACAGTATATCTCACCAGATTGTCCGTTTTGGTGAGGTGTAATACCTTCTGACTGTTTTCAAATGTTTTCTAGGTTTTGTATTTATGTCTACTGTTATTGCTCATTCTTTTGCTGTATTTACTTCCTTCATTGTTGAGAAAGGTGAAGACATGCATGCTTCATGCAGAGTGGCAAGCATCACTTCAGAGGTCCCGGGTAGTTAGCATCCTTTGGAAATTTTCTCCAGGTCATGATGGTGTTTTGGGAAATGAACAGGCAGACAGACTGGCTGGCTTTGCACCACTTGGTGGTGAGTTGATGTATGACAAGCTAGATATTGTGATGGCCCTTTGGGAACAAGTGAACAGTGCGGAGGCGCAGACAGATCATTACGGTCTGAGGTGAATGGCACTGCAAGAAGTTACCATGAAATCTTACAGATGTTCAACACTCAGGGAAAAGATGAGACGGATATACAATCAGATGGTTACTGGTGCCCTCGGAATTGGAACTCTTCGCTTGCTGATGAAGATAAGGGCGGAGCACTTATGTGAGTGTCCCAAGTGCTGTTATGTCTATACCTAATTCAACATTCGACTACTTCCTTCATTGTGATTTCTCAGGCTAACAGCATCTTTACATATCAGGTAGATTGTGTCTCCTGTGGCATAAAACCCATAATTTATAACACAACACTGTTTACCCAGTATACTGAAAACCCATAATTTATAACACAACACTCCTACCCCAGTATACTGAAAACCCATCATTTATAACACAACACTCCTACCCCAGTATACTGAAAACCCATCATTTATAACCTGCCACTGATAATCCAGTACATTGAAAACCCATCATTTATAACACAACACTGCTTACCCAGTATACTAAAAACCCATCATTTATAACACAACACTGCTTACTCAGTATTCTAAAAACCCATCATTTATAACTCAACACTGCTAACCCAGTATATTGAAAAACCCATTATGTATAACCTTCCACTGAAAATCCAGTATACTGAAAACCCATCATTTTTAAACACAACACTACTAACCCAGTATATTGAAAACCCATCATTTATAACCTGCCACTGATAATCCAGTACATTTATAACTCAATATTAGTAAGCCATCACACATATAATCTATCATTTATAACCCAACACTTGTGACTAATATACAGAAACCCATCATTTATAACCCAACAATGGTGTACACTACATAGAAAATCCATAATTTGCGACCCAGCACTGGTGACACTACAAAGAAAACCCATCATTCATAACCAAACACTGGTGACCATGACAAAGAAAACCCATCATTTATAACCAAACACTGGTGACCACTACAAAGAAAACCCATCATTTATAACCAAACACTGGTGACCATGACCAAGAAAACCCATCATTTATAACCAAACACTGGTGACCACTACAAAGAAAACCCATCATTTATAACCAAACACTGGTGACCATGACAAAGAAAACCCATCATTGATAACCAAACACTGGTGACCACTATACACAAATCTATTAATTTTAAACCACCACTGGTAACTCAGAGCACATAATTTACTGTCCAACACTAGTAACCTATGACACAAAAAATCCATCACTTATTGTGCTAAGGTTAAAACCATGTCTGAAAGAAAAAACAGCAAAACATCTGCTCATATAATCCCCTGCAATTTTTTTTTCTTAAAGATAAAATCATCAAGCAGATCTGAAAGGAAACTCCTTAGCAACAAACTTATGTGTCCACAAAAACTTTATGGTACAGACCAGAGCTGGAATCAAGGTACAGATCATGGTCTCTTGCGGCATGTGTCTGTTGGAGATTCTGGTTTTGGTGGCGACGAGGAGGATGACAGTGATGAGGATGTCTCATAGAGCAGCAGAGACCTGTGGTGAGTGGAATGCTAAATTGTGTTTAAATTTGTTACAGCTAATTATCTACTTCTCCAGCTTTTTAGTGAAAGGTTGTGAGTTAAGCCACACTGTGTTGCCAGTGACCAATTTATGGAGTTGTGGCTGGGGGGTGGGGGATATACCCACTGCCCCTATCAAGTGTGTCATAAGAAGTGACTAATTAGTGATTCACTGAAACTGAAAGTGTTGAGCCAAAAAGCCTATATATCACAGCCCAGCTGTAAACCACAATATAATTATCCACCCCCACCCTTTTAAGGGTTAATCTAAAAAAAAAAGAAATAGAGAAGTTGAGCCAAACAGCGGTTGAGAGTTAAATCAGTCTAGCTGGATTTATGTTCAGGCTGAGAGTCTGTTAGATCAACTGAAAGAGTCCAGTACAAGGGAGCTTCCAGTCCAGTATGGCAGATAGGCATGCTGTCTTTTAATTATAGCAAGTTATTTACTTTATACGGTTGGCTATGTGCATTTTCCTCCATATGTGGATTGAAAGTATATAATTCCGTCACCCAGCTATGAGGTTGAGTGCATGTCATTGCCCTGTGAACTGTGGAGTTCATTTAGAATATTTTATTGCTTAACTGAAAATGCAGTTTCTAATATGTGTCTTTTTGTACACTATCAGTTTCAGCACTACCCAAAACAATCACCTCGCACATCAGAAAACAGATTTACAAGTCCCTCCATCTACACACCAGACTATCCTGTGTTCGGTGCCAGATGTTCTGTGATCACACTACGCATAGAGGAATCATCATAGTTAGTTTTGTTCTCTGGAAAAAAGTTGTCTGGAAGTTTCAGAAGTGTTCCTGTGGATTTATATTTTGTGTCAGTTCTTTTTCTGGGATAAAAATAAAAATCCTGACTTGTACAGTTGATGGTGACTGCACTGGTCATGCAGCCACAAAGCCTCAGACTGACACCCCTCCATCCTATACTGCCCTAAAAGTGGTAAATGCAGTCAGTAAAGCTGTTTTATTTTTACGAGACTGCCAATGTCAGGGCCCTTTTTTGGGTTGAAGGTGAAGACCTAGAAATGACCATAAAGAGGGGACAGAATGCAAATAGCAAACGATACACAATTTGCAAATGAGCCCATACAAAATATTAATTTGTGTTCATTCAGGGAAGAAACATACAGGAAGATGGATGTGACTTGTTTCAGCCCTGACAGATACAAGATAGTGGATATTAAGCTGGTCGATAGCATTAATGATTGGATAAGGTCAAGGTGTTTTATTGATAGTGATGTACGAATAGGAGTAAAAGAAAGTGAATAGTAATAGAGCATTCTTTTGTAAATACTTGATATGTTATTATGTGGACTGTGAAAGCATTTGATAGACAGGTTGTTCCCATTTTTGTCTGATGGTGAGTTGCAGTGTTAATGTACCTTCAGTGTTTTAATAATTATTTTAAATCATAGCACTTTTAACTCTTTTAGTTCCAAGGAGCGCATCATACGTTCATCGGTTCCTACCTTGAAGCCCAGTAAACGCAAGATGTGCCGATTTTACGTCTCTCTTTACTACCCCTTGGGCCTGGGATGCTAAACCCTCTGGGACTCAAAGAGTTAATACTCAGTAATTATCAAGTTCAGGAAGTTGGAGGAGAATATGAGCAAATAAAATTAAGCATGTCTGTCAGGGCAAGTAGAAAGACCTTAATACATACGTGCCCTGACCTTGCCATCTGCCTCTCTAGCCCTCACAGCCAATATTTATGTGATTCCTAACAGATGGTGAGAATGCTGTATGGGGGACATCAAGCCTACTTCTTCTTCAGCATTCTGAGCCCTTGAGGTTCACTGCTACAGATATCATCGACCTCCATTCATCTCTCTGACATGTGTTGGTGTGCCTGGGTATTTTCTCTCCACCACTCCCACCTTTGTAAAACCTAATTTCATTACAAAACAGACATCAGGCCTGTAAAGTCAAAATTAAACAAGTCCTTAGCTGATCTTATTTGGTATTTTCTGGTGTCCACATTTCTTATAAGTTGTTAGAATGCTGGTCTCTCATTTGGGAGTGTCAGGTTTAAATCTTCAGTAGGGTGATTTTTTTTTTTTCCTTGGATGAAACTCCCCTCCCCGATTCCCCCCACGCCCCAAATAAAAATCCTAACTTGCACAGTTCGTGGCACCTGCACTAGCCAGGCATCCCTCAGTGTTCAGACTAGACCCTCTCTGCCCTAGATCTCCGCAAAAAAAGTGGAAAATGCCGGCAGTAAAGACCTAATTTTTGTGTGTGCCCCATTCCCTTTATTGTGGCATCCATGGCTTAGGCATTGTGAGTCCGGCTCATAATTCCAACATAGCGCGATTGAAACCCACTGATGGCTGCGTGGATTTTTATCATGGTAAGGGGCATCACAGGTTGACGTAGCCTAAAATGGGTACCAGGATGTATCTCCTGGGGAAGTAAAGACCACAGAACCCACCTAGCGCTGATTGGTATGTAGAAATATGGGTGCTCTTCCCATTTGCCCAATGTGCCTAAAGGAATGAAAAGGGATCTTTACTTTTTTACTTCATTCCCTTTATCTGCATTAAAGCAGACTCGGCTAATCTCAAGCCATCTTTTCTTTTGTAATCTCCTACAACATGTCCTATCCATATTATTCAACTGTCCATAATTCTCTTATCTGCATGTTTTCAAGTTTTCTGTATCTTTTGCCTTGTGGGTTCCCAGAAAAGCACCTTCTTTGTATTCTGTTATCAGATTTATTCTGTACATGTGTGCGCGCGTGTGCATACATGCATGTGTGTGTTTTCCTAATTTTTTGAGTAACTGAAATTTGTTTCTCCCCATAAGCTCTGTTTAGATTTTGCGAGAGCATTTAATTCTGTTTGTTCTGCAGAGTAGAATTAGGAAAAACAATATAGCACTTGGGACATTCCAATAATGTGCTGTCCCTATCTTCAGCAGTCAGTGCAGAGTTCCAGTTTGTGTCCATCCAGCTTCACCCAGATAAGGCTTCTTGTTGGGCCCAATTCTCCATAAATGTCACTATTCTGACTTGTCTATTGTGACCTGTTCACAAGACCCACAGTTAATGCTGCTGACTGCTTTCATGAAGGTGCAACACATTTAGGAGGTCAGAATATTAATAGAGATCACAGGGCTAAAGATTTGAGACACCCCATACATGTGTTTCTTTTTTTTTAAGGGCCCCAGATGATGTATTCAATTTAATGCTTCACCCTGTTTGTGTTTATTGATTAATATATTTCAGATATCTTTATGTGTTTAAAAATTTTTTTAAAAATATAAATGAATATATTTGAACAAATTTATTTATGACTTATGTAAATTTGTTTTTGTTTTTCTAAAAAGCAGTTTAATTCTAATGAGGTCACAGCCTGTTTTTTTTTTTTTTTAATCTAGTGTCCCTGGGACATGAGGCTTGAGTTTTATGATGCAGTTCCAACAACCTCAAGCATTTTCTAAAATCTGTAGTGAGCCGTTGTGGTAAAGCAGTTAGGAATCTGATTCACTTTCTGTGTGTGTAAATTATTCCCAGTCATTATACGGTGCAGACTTAATAAGGAGAACTCATCGGAGACCCAAGAAATGGCTCTCCTTATCAGAAATTCCTCTTATACAGTTCAAGCAAGAAAAAGATACACAGGAAGAAGGAATATGTTGTTTGGTTGTTGCTTAGATATTAGTGAATGTGTGTAATCTATTTGCAACTGTGACATCTGTGTACAACATATCTTTAATTGTGTCATTTGTGTGTAACTTATCTGCAATTGTGACATTTGTGTGTAACTTATCTGTAATTGTGACACTTGTGTGTAACTTATCTGTAATTGTGACATTTGTGTGTAACTTATCTGTAATTGTGACACTTGTGTGTAACTTATCTGTAATTGTGACATTTGTGTGTAACTTATCTGTCATTGTGACACTTGTGTGTAACTTATCTGTAACTGTGACATCTGTGTGTAACTTATCTGTAATTGTGACACTTGTATGTAACTTATCTGTAATTGTGACATTTGTGTGTAACTTATCTGTAATTGTGACACTTGTGTGTAACTTATCTGTAATTGTGACATTTGTGTGTAACTTATCTGTAATTGTGACACTTGTGTGTAACTTATCTGTAATTGTGACATTTGTGTGTAACTTATCTGTAATTGTGACATTTGTGTGTAACTTATCTGTAATTGTGACACTTGTGTGTAACTTATCTGTATAACTTATCTGTAATTGTGACATTTGTGTGTAACTTATCTGTAATTGTGACACTTGTGTGTAACTTATCTGTAATTGTGACACTTGTGTGTAACTTATCTGTAATTGTGACATTTGTGTGTAACTTATCTGTAATTGTGACATTTGTGTGTAACTTATCTGTAATTGTGACACTTGTGTGTAACTTATCTGTAATTGTGACATTTGTGTGTAACTTATCTGTAATTGTGACATTTGTGTGTAACTTATTTGTAATTGTGACATTTGTATGTAATAAATCTGCAATTTTAACATTTGTATGTCTCTTCTTCTTCATTGCTCACCAGCTGTAAGCTCCAATGGTAAGTCCTGATTTTTTTTGTCTGGGCTTTGACTTTGTGCCAGGGCCTGAGTTTTGCATGTACTCCTGTTTCACTGACTTTTGTGTGTGCAGTTGGCTGTTCTTTGCCACTTGGGCAGATGCACACCGACTTTGAAGGAAGTCCCCAATTAGTCAACTGTTTCGATATGCTTGTTGGGGAGGCAGTGGGTCTATTCATGTTTTCCCCACAATTGGGTCTCAGAACCCATTCTGGGAGATATTTTTATGTATCTGTAAGTCTGCAAATATAAAATACATGTATTTCAAGAAAGATTCAACAAATGTAGCATGTGCCTTATTGAGATTCGTATTTGTTTGTGGAATGAAAGGTCTCTAAAATTGTTTATTGAATTAAAGATTTGCAGTAAAGTATTTATGTATGTATCATTTATCTG